AGGTCGAGAGTCATCAGGATTAGGGCTTTCTATCCGCCACCGCATGCCTTCCCCGAGGAGGAGCGGTGGCACCTTCTGTGTCCTGTCAGAATGCTGAGGCATTACCTGGCCATGACGTCGTCATTCAGGTTGGGTGGTCAGCTGTTTGTGTGTCTGGGCCCCAAGAACAGGGGCGCCCCGCTGTCGGCTCAGCGGCTGGCGCACTGGGTCGCCACGGCTGTGCGGCGGGCGTATCAGACGCAGGGTCTGGCCCTCCCGGTGGGCTTCAGGTCGCATTCCACGCGTGGGATGGCGGCCTCTGCGGCCCTTCTCAGGGGGGTGTCGGTCGAGGACGACTGCCGTGCGGCTTCTTGGGCGTCGTCCTCCTCTTTCGTCCGGTTTTATCTTTTGGATGTGTCGGACCGGTCGGTGGCCCATTCCGTGCTGAGTGCAGCGGACTGAGTTAGACCGTTAGGTCCCTCCTCTGAGGGGGCCTTCGTTTTACTTTCCGCCCTGGTTCAGGAGCTCTTGGGAGAGGCATCCTACAGGTGCGGTACATATATGTGTGTTTGGTCGGTCAGGTAGTCCACGTCAGGAGCCCTTGGGAGAGGCGTCCTGTGACTACGGATGACCTACATCTGTGTTACATGGGGGTATCCTTGGTAGGAGTGGCCCTGTAACACGCATTGTTTCTTCTGCCCTGAGTCCCCTCACTGTGTGAGGACCTTGCTCGGGCGGAGCTCCAATCACCCTTCGCTGGCCTGCTGGGAGTACATGTTCCTACGGCCTCCGCGTTGTGTCCCACTAGCGAAGTCCTAAGGGACGTAGCACCATGACGTAGAATTAATAGTTACCTAATGTAACTTAAGTTCTACGAATAGGTGCGTAGTCCCTTAGCTACGAGCCCATCAGGCCAGCCCGGCTTGGCAGAGTTCAAGAGGGGGTGCGGCCTTGTGCAGGGGCATTTATAGAGGAGGGTGGCTGGTGATTGGAGCAAATTATTTTGATCTCTCTGGCGTGTGACCTGGGGGTCACGTGATATCCCACTAGCGAAGTCCTAAGGGACTACGCACCTATTCGTAGAACTTAAGTTACATTAGGTAACTATTAATTATGTTAGCAGTCAGGGCTCTGGAGTATTTGTTATGACACATACACTGTAAAAACGTCCCTCAAGCAAGTCCCATAATAAGCAGTGTTGGGCACGTTACTTTGAAAAAGTAATTAGTTATAGTTACTAGTTACTTCTCCCAAAAAGTAACTGAGTTACTTACGGAGTTACTCCACTATAAAAGTAACTAGTTACCAGTAAAAGTAACTATTGCGTTACTTTTTCGTTTTGTTCTGGAACATAATGTGCACCCGACGTGCGCATTTTTACCTTTAACAGTGCCAATATTTCCATCTAGAAAAGGCTGTTTTGCTGCTGAAGTCCTGTTCACTCTTCATCTCTCTCTGTGCTGTAAAGCCCGCCACTGTGAATGTGGAAACACCGGTGACGAGCGGTGAGGCTGGTGAAGCACTGACTTCAGTCCAATCAGATGAACATATACATCATATAAATCAAGTGGACAATTTGTTTGGCTACAGCAAAATATGTTTTATGCCCGCATTGTTTGTTCATACAAAACGCAAAACTATGAGTTATGGGTCTTACCTTATAGCTATACCTTATAAATGACCTGCACAGTCCACTTCGGTTCAGACCAGTTCCTTGTTTAAATCCAGTGAATGGTTTGAGCGTAGATATGTAATCCTCCATTTGGAAATGAGTCCAATGAGTTTTAAAAAGTAAAACAAAACGCGTGTGTCCTCCGTAAACTCCTCTGTTTTGCTGCAGCCGGCTGCATCCAATTTCTAAAATCAACCGTCTTACACTTCGCTCTCTTTCTTATCATTCCTATAGTAATTGAAAAATTACCCTATGTGCATTTTAGATTATGTAAAAATGTGTTATATGTATGTTAGCCAAACCTGTTGCTGTCCTTAGCAGATAAACCAGGAAGAGCAAGGAGCTTATCGATGGAATTGTATGCAGCCGACTTCTGCGCTCACATGCGCTCCTCTGTGGCTGACCTCACGGTGATGCAAGCCGATTAAGACCCATATTTGTTTCAAAAACACAATTTATGAGCCATCCTCTCAACTGTAGACATGTAGATTGTAAAGGAAATATGATTTACATCAGCCAATAATTGCTGAGAGGTTTTCTCATCCTCCCTTCTCTCATGACAACACGTTCATTGTGCGTCTTGAGTAACGCGCAGTAACGGGATGTCGGAAATGATAACGGCGTTATAGTTACTGTCAAAGTAATTAGTTAGATTACTCGTTACTGAAAAAAGTAACGGCGTTAGTAACGCCGTTACTAGTAACGCCGTTATTCCCATCACTGATAATAAGTGATAATCATGAGCACATTCTACTTAAAAAGATCAAATCATTTTACTAATAGTGCATTATTAGACTTTGTGTGTGCATCACGGAGCATTAACGCTTGTTCATGGTTGTGTCTGCAGAGCTCCAGGATCCATTGTTCTGTAGGTTTTCTGGTGCAGGGGAGAAAACCTTCCAAACCAGTGATCCATAGAATTGTAGAGACCATGCTGACCACTCATGCAGCCACTGGGGAAAAAACTGACACTTTAAAACTCATAGATCGGTTCATAATGAGCCTATATCATAAAAAGTATGGGAAATAAACAATCATAATGTTGTCCTAATTATTTTACACTTTGAATTAGATTTATCTGGACAAGAACTACTCCTACCACATATAATTTTACTCTTTAAAGTAGTACTAGAATTTAATATGCTCCTATCCAGAATATATAACTACAATATGTGTTTATAATATTTCGGGTGTTCATTTTGATATGTTCAGATGAATTATGTTTAAAAAAACAGCTTTGAAGTCGGACCTTTTCACAAACGCTAGGGGGCGCCAAAATGGCGGCGATGACGTAGGAGAAGGACCTCTCACAGCAGCAGCAGCAGTCTGGGCTGAATCTGTAGGAGGTTTCACTGTCATCTGAACAAGGTATAAACATATTTTCATCTGTTTTGTACATAATAGTGCACAACTCTTTTAACCTTTTAGCCTTATTTGTGAGATTCAAGCTAACTAGTGTTGGGCAAGTTAGCTAACTCTACTTGATATCATAAAACATGCTAACAAGGCTAATATTCGTTTTTACATTATGCCAGTCTCACTTTGCCTTAGATTTATTTACCACAATGTACATTGTAATATCCATAAATGCTAATCAAAATAACTTGAATTAAATAAATATTTTACTTTTATGAACAAAAAGCTGCAGAAGTTGAAAACATAGACTACATGTGATGCAATCATTGATAAAAATGATAATTAAACCGTTAATAGGTGTTAGCATTTATGGATATTACAATGTACATTGTGGTAAATAAATCTAAGGAACCAAAGTGGGACTGGCATAATGTAAAAACGAATATTAGCCTTGTTAGCATGTTTTATGATATCAAGTAGAGTTAGCTAACTTACCCAACACTAATTAGCTTGAATCTCACAAATAAGGCTAAAAGGTTAAAAGAGTTGTGCTCTATTATGTACAAAACGGATGAAAATATGTTTATACCTTGTTCAGATGACAGTGAAACCTTCTACAGATTCAGCCAAGCCCCGGCGATCCAAGATGGCGCCCTATTCAAATGAATGGTTGTGCTCAGTGGCGCTTTGTGACAGCATGGGGGCTGAAAAGATTAGCGGAAGTTGCCTGAAACTCGCAAAGATCTATGGGAAACTCGCCTGTATTTGGGCATCGTCTGGTCCTCCCGGTTCTGCGCAGTGGATGATCTCCCATAATGCGTTGCGCCAAACACGCGTGTGTGGGTCTCACACCGGGTCTCACGCACGTGCACAGAGGGGCTCGGCCGCGCTCTGACCAATCAGAGCAGTTCATCAGAGCGGGAGTTAGAGCGAGAGCCAGAGGAGTAGAGTTTGTGGCACTAAAGTGTGGATTTAAACAAAACCGAAGGATTTAAGAAGAAAAAAAGTTCAGGATGACAAGGGACACTAAAATCCCCACAAAATCCGACCTTTATTAAAGCTGTAGGTTCTCTGTCAGCTGAGGTTGAGCTGTTTTAATATGCATTGAGTTCTATGGGGAAAATGTCTGGGTAGCCCACGTGAATTTAGTCTGGTTCAGTCTGCAGTACCGCGACAATCCCCCGAGCACATGAGTTATTCAGCTACAAGCTGTAATACCCTATCCAGTTATTATAATACATCCATGGTTTCAGCCCAGACTGCTGCTGCTGCTGTGAGAGGTCATTCTCCTACGTCATCGCCGCCATTTTGGCGCCCCCTAGCGTTTCTATGCGGAAGTGAAAAGGTGCCACTTCAGAGCAGTTTTTACATAATCCATCTGAACATGTCAAAATGAACACCCGAAATATTATAAACACATATTGTAGTTATATATTCTGGATAGCAGCATATTAAATTCTAGTACTACTTTAAGTTAACCTGTGTACAGCGCCCCCTGTTGGACAAATGAAGCATTGTGGATCAAGCTGGCAAAAGATCAGCTTTATTTTGTTATAGCAAACATCAAAATGCAAAGTTATCGTTCAGGAAATCAAAGTTCATTACAAACTATATTAAAATAATCATAAAGCAAGAAAAACACACATTATTGAAGTAGATTTAATTTTAAAAGAAAAGTGCAGATGCAAAACCTTTTAGTTAACCAACACATCATCATAAAAACAACATTATCACACTTTTTTTTGGGTCGATTAAATGAATGGAACAAATGACACCACACACAATGGATGTAAATATACTAGATGATAAAGAATCAGCAGGAGGTGCAGAGATGTTGTAAAAGCAGCTCTTTAGGCCTGATCCCATGAACAAGAAACCCCTCACCCACAAGTAAATACATACAATACACTCACACGTGATGAAAAACTGCTTCTAGACCGTTCATCTCTGAGAAACATGACACACACTCTGCTCAATCGAATGCACCACACAATTAAAGTTCAGTTTTCTTTGAGGAAGATCTTTTCTTTGAGGAAGATTTTTTCTCTGTGGAAGATTTTTGCTTTTTGAAAACGGGTTGGTTTTCGTCTTTCTTCCAGGTCAGTTTGACGTCTCCCAGGTTGTTCGCTTCAAACTGTTTTTGCAGCTAAAGAAAATGGAGAAGGTTCATTATTCCAAGTAAAGAAATGTACGTAAGGTGAAGGTAAACGTTATTGTCCTGTTGGAAATATCAGTATTATATTGATTATATTATATATTGATTCTGAATTCTCCTGTTTTAATGTTGTCACGTTTCAGAAAATATTCAAAGTCTTAACTACACAAACCTGTTGCAATATTTCGGAGCTGAATTTGTTGGGATCCACTGGTGAGGACATTTTTATTTTCACCAAAGTCTTTTTTCTCTTCGGAGCTGAAAAATATCAAAATGTTGTCTGTGAAATATACCAAGAATAAAACTGTATCATCCATATTGTATTTTCAAACCGACTTAAATCAAGTGAAGTAAAACACGTTCTTTCTCCCATGACTTGAATAGTTGTTGCTTGTTCTCTTACCTCCTTCACAGATGAAGCTTTTCTTTAGTCCACAGTCGTCGCTCTCCCATCGGCCCTCGGCTCCCAGTGCTGCACATTTCTTTGTCTCTGGATTTATCGATGTGTGTGAGTTCCAGTTTCTGAAAGAGGAGTCGCTTCTGTCGGACCAGCTCCAGGTGTCCCGGAACAGACCGATCCAACAAAATGAAGGAAGCGTAAGGTTCTGTTCCTGAAACAGTTTGTGCTGGTCCAGTCCACTCATCAGGTCAGTGTGGTTAGTTCTGCAGAACTGCTGAGCCTCTGACCAGGTTCCTTTGTTAGAGATCATGACAGTAGTGTTGGAGGACTCTGTGGAACAAGAGAAGACAATATTATTTTATTCATCTTTATTAAGGACTGAAAATGTTGAGGTCCAGAGATAAATGTTACAGTCGTTGGGTTTTTATTATTATTAAAATTGAAATAGAAATAGGTTCAAAGTCTTCCTGTTCACATCTGCAGAAATGGAGCTTTCGCGAAAGTTCACTGTGGTAGACCCGGCTGCTGCTTGCCCAGATCTACAGGCTGCTCTTCCTCGGCTCATCAGACCAGCAACGCCCACATCCAGCCAACCAATAACCACCAGGACAGCAAGTTAAAATCCGGAGACTCCCACTTCCCGGCCTTCTGAAGTCTGCAAGCTTCTGAAGTCTGCAAGGGCATGTCGCTAACGCACTTGTTCGCAAATGCATGCGTTGTTCTGGAGGGGTCGCTTTCTGCTCACGTGTTGCTCGTGCGCGTGGCCCGGCTGTCCTCAGTCTGGCTGCTCGTGGTCTGCTCCTCCTCCGCGTCCCTGCACCTGCTGTGGTTCGCGTGTCTCCACTGCTCTCCTCCTCTGCGGGCTGCTCCGCGGGGCCCCTCCGCGGGTTCTGTGCTGCTCGTTCCTCGTGGTCTGCTGCCGCGCGCAGACGGTCTGGCGGTGCCGTGCGTGTCCCTGCCTCCGACTGGCGGTGCCGCGTTGTCCCGTTGCTTTTCCCAAGTCTCCTGGCATGTGAGTACAGTCAGTGTGCCGACCGCGGACGGATTAATCCCGGAGTCTAGGCTGCAGGCGGCTGGTTTTTGCCCCGCGCACTTGACTGCAGGCGTCAGTTTTCGCCCCGTGCTGGGTCTGCAGGCTCCGTTTTCACATGTGTTTGAGCTAACTGAGGGGCAATGCATCTTAAATGGCATCAATCTCTATTGTCTGAGGGATATAAGAGGAGCAATGTGCATTAATTCAGATTCATGTTCTGCCACTTGCAGTAAAACCACGTTGGAAAAATGTGCAAAGACTACCCCATCGTGCTCCAGACGGCACACACCAGAGCTCTTGCCACGGCGCCATCTTTACAGCATTAATCTTATTACTCGCAGGTCACTATTGTTAAATGAATGTATTTAAATTCGTCTATCTGCAGGAGGAAGGAGGGGCCATGCATTTAAATAGCTAGGTCACTAGTATTAAATTAGGTAACTAAACTGCAGTTGTTGCATTTTGAAAGTGCAGCAGAAAGAAAAAGGGCCCAATGTGAATCTGCAATGGGTTTGAAGTGGAGTTGGAGCTAATGAACGCGTGGATCAGTGATCGTTCATGCGTTCTACCATAACCAAAGCAGCAAGATGGCTCCAGGGGACATCTGTTCTCGCATGGGAATGTTTCGGATTCGGGTTGATTTATTTCCTCAGGCTCTTAAACAACTATGGGCATGGTTCTCTGACCGCCGTTGCTGCGGCCCCTGCTGCCGTTCCTACTGATGCCTGATCCCACTGCTGCCTGTTCCTGCTGCCGCTCCTGCTGCTGCCTGTCCCTGCTGCCTGCTCCTACTACTACATGTGCCGCTGCTGCTGTTCCTGCTGCCGCTCCTGCTGCTGTCTGTCCCTGCTGCCTGCTCCTGCTGCTCCTGCTACTACATGTGCCGCTGCTGCTGTTCCTGCCACTGCCGCTCCGCGGGCTCCCGGGCGGCACCTGTCTCTACGGCTCGGCTCTTTCAGACACGTACGTAACCTGGCTCACGGAGACCAGCGGCGCACGCTGGCGTGACACGTCTGTTGTTTGTATGAATCGCATTGTGGTGCTACTGCTCCTGCTAATGCTGCTTCTGCTGCTTCATACTGCTACTGCTACTGCTGCTACTGCTGCCGCTAATGCTGCTATTGCTGCCGCTGCTGCTTCATACTGCTACTGCTGCCGTGCTGCTGCTGCTTCTTTACTTTGACATCTCTCTTCACTTCGCATCTCTTTTACTGAAACACTAAACAGCTTCAACAATATTCTACTGCTGTGGCTTTGATACAGGATTATTGCCGTTATTATCTACGGATGCTGCAACCGCTGCTGCTGCTGCTTCATACTGCTACTGCTGCTACTGCTGCTGCTTCATACTGCTACTGCTGCTACTGCTGCTGCTTCATACTGCTACTGCTGCTCCTGCTAATGCTGCTTCTGCTGCTTCATACTGCTACTGCTACTGCTGCTACTGCTGCCGCTAATGCTGCTATTGCTGCCGCTGCTGCTTCATACTGCTAATGCTGCTTCTGCTGCTTCATACTGCTAATGCTGCTTCTGCTGCTTCATACTGCTACCGTTACTGCTGCTGCCGCTGCTGCTTCATACTGCATCTGCTGCCGTGCTGCTGCTGCTTCATGTACTTTGACATCTCTCTTCACTTCGCATCTCTTTTACTGAAACACTAAACAGCTACAACAATATTCTACTGCTCTGGCTTTGATACAGGATTATTGCTGTTATTATCTACGGATGCTGCAGCTGCTGCTGCTGCATCTGCTGCTGCTGCTTCATACTGCTACTGCTGCTGCTGCTTCATACTGCTACTGCTGCTGCTGCTTCATACTGCTACTGCTGCTGCTTCATACTGCTACTGCTACTGCTGCTGCTTCATACGGCTACTGCTGCTACTACTGCTGCTGCTGCTTCATTTACTTTTCCATCTCTCTTCACTTGCATCTCTTTTACTGAAACACTGAACAGCTACAACAACATTCTACGACACATCTCTCTGCCCCTACAGGTCCATGATGCATTACACTCGCCTCCGCCGCAAAAAGATTTTAACGGACCTCTAATTCCCGCTCCAGACAACCTTCCCATAACAGCAACCTGGTTCAGAGCTCAGCTAAGATCCCTACTGCTCCTCTGCAATTTGTCTCCCCAGCTCTATACAGCCCACTCCTTCAGGATAGGCGCTGCCACGCGCGCGACCTCGCTGGGGCTCCCCCACTCTTCTCTGCAACAGCTGGGGCGCTGGGCCTCTTCGGCTTTCTCCACCTACATCAGGCCAGATGCGACCGCTATCATGGCAGCACAACGTCTACCGGCTTCCTCGTAAGCTCCCAGCAAAGCAAGCAAGCAATAAGATTCTGGTGGCGGCACGCACTTTCCTCAAACGCTCAAAGATTCCCCTGTTGCAGCATCTGGCTGAACATGCGCGTGCGCGCATGTTCTCAGCTTGCTCAAAGATTCCTCTGCTTCAGCGTCTGGCTGAATATGAGCATGCGCTCATTTTCTCAGCTCGCTTAAAGACTCCCCTGCTGCAGCGCCTGGCTGAACGTGCGCGTGCGCATGTTCTCAGCTTGCTCAAAGATTCCCCTGCTTCAGCGTCTAGCTGAATATGAGCACGCTCATATTCTCAGCTCGCCCTGCCTAAACAAACACGGGCCCCAGCGGACGCAGCCTGGCTGAGCGACCGTGCGAGAAGCCTCTCACTCATGCTCTCGCGCAGTACGTCCTGCTATCCCAATCGCAGGCCCGCTTTTTGGGGATTATGCACGCGAGCAAGCGCCGTGCTCAACAGCATCCCTCCCGGGCCTAGGGCGCCAAACATGCTCAATCAATAAACATGCTTAAATCTAATAAGTCTAACGGCATTTTCCTCATGGGTCTCTCCAAGGTGAACTGATAAACAGGAGATGAGTTCAGTTACAGCACTGGATTTGTGCTTTTAATGTCAAATTTGACTATTCAGAAATCTGGAATAATTGCAAGTAAAAAAAGCAAAACTGTTTTTTTTCTGATCTCAGATGTTTCTAATGCAAGAAAATTACAGTTTGGAAACAAGGAAACATACAAAATGACCACTCAAACTGCCCCCTGTGCCTCATCTTACACTTTACAGGTAATAATATGAACTGTTTATAAATAAGATTAATAACACAGTAATATAAAAGTCATAAATAAATAAGCTTGTTTTGTTTAATGTGTTTAAAGTAAAAACTTTTTCCTCACCGTTGTAGCAGATAAAACCAATGTGTGGATAATGACAGGGAGTGTCATTCCACTTGACATCCCTGGTCATCACCACACAGTTTTCAGTTACGGAATCAGGTTGCCCTGGTGTCCACTGAGCTTCTCCTTCCTTGTATCTGACTGTGGGCTGAGACCAGTGCCATTTCTTGTCTGTGGGGTTGTCACTGGTTTGATGAAGTCCGATCCAGGCGTCCGTGCGTCCGTTTGCAGCAGCCTTCAGGTTCTTCAGGTCCTTCATGTCGTTCACTGAGGCCAGGTCTGTGTGCTGCTCTCTGCAGTGACTCTGAGCCTCAGACCACGACATCTTCTTATCTATAAAGTGGTACTGAAGGTCCAGAGACACTGACCAACACAGCTGACCTACAGGGAGAAAACACAAACTAAACATATCTTCAGGAGGTTATGGGATTTAGACAGTTTAGAAGATTAGACTTTTTCAAATGTCTGTGGATTAAGAAATTACAAAGTTTATTAATCAATCATTCAATTATCATTACTTAGAGCAGTTGGTTTTTGCTCTCCTTTATCTAAGTAAATGTGAATATAATACCTTTAAGGACAAAATGTCTTGTCCGTTGGCAGATAATTTTCCTTTACTTTGAAATTAATTTCAGGATTGTTGGATTTAAAATCACACCAGAACTAAATGATGTTTGGGAAATCTTTTAACGATTGCATTTACAGTTAAATGTTAAAATACATGTGGAGTAGACAAATATAATGAAGAGTAACTAAAACTCACTCAGCAGCACGGAGAGCAGCAACGTCTGATCCATCTTCACCTGAAAAGAAAAAAAGTCTTAATGGTCAGGACAAAATCCAGACTAAAGCAGGACTGAACCAGGACTGAACCAGGACTGAACCAGTGAGGCAGATCACTCACCTTTAAAGTCTGCTCTCTGCCCCCTGTGTTGGATACACTTGTATTACAGAGAATTCTCTGGAAACACCTGAACACATGTCTCACCCAAATGAGTTTATTTTTATTCAAATGTAAATGTCATGGACAAAATGATTTTACACGGTTCTTGCATCATTTTCATATTCAAAATCTGAAGAAGAGGCTATTTATTCATCACATATACTAAATAAAGTTTCAAGAAAGTATATATTTTAAAACTGATTGAGTTCATTATTGTTTTGAGTATTCTCTCAAACTAATACTTTCTTACTTTTTGCCCATTGCTCGTTTGCTCTAGAGCAGCAAAAGGTATCTTCATCCCTGTGGGGCTTCAGCCTTTTGTGGATGAGGTTTTGTTCCATCATTTCAGCTTCTATTGTGGTCCTCAGGAGATATGGGGCGTCCCCTCTTTGCCTTCAGGAGTCCAGAACCGGGATCTTTCTGTAAAGTCCTAAGTGTCTTCTTTTAAAGGACAAGTCCCAACCAGGTCCGTCCTCTCGTTATGACTGATGTGGACTTGGAGACATTTGTGAAGGAGGTCTGTATTAGAGGAAGTCTCTGCACAAAACATCTGTAAACAGAGAGGTGTGCAGACCTCAGTGTGGAGGGAGCTTTTCAACATCAGTCGAGGGAAAGTATTTTTGGTGCATTTAGTGGTACGCAGGGCTCTTTCTAGTGGTACACCAAAGAATCACTGAAATAGAAAAATAAAATAAAAAGTTATTTAACCTATATTTAACCGGGAAAGTCCCATTGAGATTAAGAACCTCTTTTTCAAGGGACTCCTGGACAAAAGTTACATACAATTACAGATTATAAAAACAGTCACTTACAAATTCATAAAATTAATAAAAACATGCAGTTATACTTGAATGAGGATGTCTCAAGTGCTCTCAAACTGGATCTAAAAGCATTCCATGTAGAAGGAGCAGCATATACAACAGCTTTTTTTCCTGGGCAAGGAAAGAAGTTCCGGGCAAATGGAACAGGGAGCAACAAAAGATCATTTCATCCAAACCATATGAACCAACATGTCTTTGTGTGAGTTAATGGCCGATATAAGAGGGCAGCAGACCAAGCATAGCCTTATAAACAAAAGTGCACCAGTGTCCAAACCTTCTGTGGACAAAGGGGGCCATCCCACTCCAGAATATCAGTCACAGGTGAGTCAAGGCTTTGCAGTTCAGAATGACTTGAACATTTAAATTGAATCATTTAAACTTTATGTACAGTTTTTGTTTTTTTCCTTTTTTTCCTATATTCAAGCTTAGTCTTACTGTTGAAACTGTGTAAAATGTCACAATGGCTGACAATATTAAATATACTTCTTTAGGAATGAAACTTCTGCCTTGTTTTTGATGAATACTTAGGCTTATTACGCTACTGTATAGTGTTGGTCGTTTGTGGTGGTACTTGGAGAGGAGGCAAGTATTTTCTGAGGTGGTACTTGGAGTAAATAGTTTGAGAACCACTGATTTACAGTAATGTTTACTGTTCCTGTCAAACAAAAACGTGTGTCTCTCTACCTTAACTTGACATTTGTGGAAGCTACAAAAACATATATTTAGGAGTGACAATCATGGGATTTTAGAAGATTAGACAAAGTGAAATTTTCTGTCTGTAGTTAAATGTTCTGTCATTGGAATGAGATATCATAACCTTCAATCATCAATCATTCAATTACTCTTATGTTAAGTGCAAAATTGCTGTGTTTCCAAGAGGCAAAATAAAAGTAAAAATAAATAAAATACTTAATGGAGTAAATAACATTTGGATAAATAATTCTAAAAAGTAGAGCAAAAATGGACACACTTCCATAAACTCACTTTTGTGTGTGAAACAGACCCACCCAAAACCACATATATTATTTAGTACACACACACACCCACACACAAACACACACACACACACACATACACACACACACAGATAAAATAAAATAGGTAAAACCATGGCTCCTCAGGGGGACTCTGGGACCAGTTTCTTATGGCCTCCTTTCAGTAATGGTTTTCTTCTTGCCTCTCGTGCATAAAGGCCAGATTTGTATAGAGCATGAATGATAATCGTCCCATGTATTCCCCCAGTTCAGCAGCAGGGGGCACTTCCAGGGTCCTCTGGCACTCAGTTGCTTTTCTGACCAGTGTTCTCCTTGTTCGATCTGTAAGTTTTTAGTTGGACGGCCGTGTCTTAGTAAGTTCGTTGGTGCCATACACTTTACATTTACAAATAATGGATGGAACAGTGCATCGTAAGATGTTAAAATCTGGGGAAAACCTGACAAACCTGACAAAATGTGCAAAAGTTCAAGGTGTATTAATACTTTCAAGACGCACCGTAAAAAGAACGATCAACAAAAAATCAGTAGAGCTAATTTTTCATAAAATCTCACTATGTTTGGTTCAATCATTTGCACAAAGGTGACGTTGATCTCGGTAGTCTGCGTCGCAATACTTCAAAACAGCGACTAATTCACCTATTTGGCACAAAGACAAAGAGCAAATTTGGGGTGTGCTTGGTAACCATAATAAACAGGCGTAACGACGTAATGGAAAGTTTGTCTTTTGTGCGCACAGGTATTCAGTGAGTGGGCGGGGCAGGCGTGTCTGAGGAAGTGAGTCAGCTGCAGACCAACGCGCCAAAGACAACTCCATACCTTCATATAAATGTGCTAAAAGAGCTATTTCTTTGTGTAATGTGAAACCTAGCAAACAATCCTACTAAAAGCTCAAGTATTGAAGTCTTTCCCATACTTGAGTAGGCATTAACAAAAAACCTGTTTTATAAATATTTATAAATACCACTGTGCAATCTCTCTGTTGGGGTTGTCATGGAGATATAATTTCTTTGCTTGGAGTGTTCCTTAGTAAAGCTTGTACTTTATTTAAAGCAGGGGTAACTAACTTTCAATCCACAGAAATGACTATATGTCAAACAAACAGCATTTCACTAGTTTTCACCAATGTATGTTTGAGCTCTTTAGATGTTAGCTTTTTCAGACAGAAAAGTGACAATAAGCACTCAGCTCTTCTTTACTAGAATGAAATTAAATGTTCTAATAAGGTCGGATCACGCCTTGCTTGAAAGAGTGGGCTTCACTTCGTGGCTCAGTTTGGAGCAGAAAGTACCAAATATGTGTCTTTAATAATCACTAAACTGGACAGAAAAACAAATTCTACGGTTAAGTACAGATAATAATAAAACCTTCTGAGTAAATATATATAAATTTATCTCTCACCTTCATTATGCCTAGTTGTTATTATATGGTATGATCCTTTTTGTTTCAATAAACATTAGACAACATGAGAGATGCATCCTGATGTACCAGGTTGCAGTAGGAGTGTAGTTCCTGAGTAGGATCTTGTGCCTTGTTCTCCCTATTTTGACTAATTTGAGAAAAGTAATATGTAAGTCCTATCTGGTCATTTCATGTTTTTGAAATGACCAGAAATCCCTAGAAATTACATGGTGAGAAACAGTAAATAATGCTCTTAATTACAACTTGTTTGCGGCTTTATTGAAGTATGAATAATGCAAACAATTGTGGAGAGACTTACTTTTAAATGCAGCTAATCCATGATTGATATTTTACCCACAATCCATTATTATTTTAGAAAATCTGGTCTAGTATGTGAAATGACAGACAATAATGGAATATATATAACATTCTATAACATATTTGGACTCATTAACTTAACCATTCTTGATTCACATGTGACGGTATGGTAGACCAAAAACACACAACATATGTTTCTTTCTACAGTTTTTTTGATTGGATTGCATGGAATTAACTAAATGAATGAATCAGATGTGAATAGACTCATACATGTGCCGGATATGAACAACTTTTCAGAAAACCAGCTTCAAAAGTTCCAAATGAACACCACATTTCCTGCGTCTAGACATTTGAGTCATGCATGATTCGTGAACAAACAAATTAACTGTTTCTGCTACTTTTTAGCATGAGTTAGAACACCATTGTGACCGCTGATGAAGTTATGCGCACACAAACACACACACACGTCATTCACTATCATACACACAACAAATAAGAACAAACGTTATACAAAAATATAGAAATACAAAATACAAACCACAAACAAAAACAGACAGAAAACATGAAAAATCAAGATACAGGTTGCTATAAAGGTCCTGACATCCGTTTCAGAGTCACATTATTACCTGCTGTTTGACACATGTTAAACTGATTCATTTGATTTCCTACATTGGATCCCCTCTCCTCTTCGCAGATATTTCTTGTACATCAACATAAAGAAGTGGTTTCCCTGGCTCCACTGGAAATGAATAATGGACAGAACAACAGATGGATGGATCTGTGCAAATTCGGTATAAAACCACAGATTATACTGCAATTCTAACTGATTATATTTCAAGAATTTTACATTTTCTTTGTCCCAACAGAAAAAGTCTGTTGAAAGTGAATTTATGTGAACAAATCAGACAACAACATTTCTGATTGATTGTATTAGAAGACAAGAGAGGCATGAGAGACACTATTTGAGGGCCAACAGGAAGTAAATACTCAATATAGTTTGATGGATTGTGTTACATTGTTTATTTTTTGTGGAGTGAAGATGAGGGACCCCAGCTTTAAAATAAGTGTTATTTCTTTAAAAACAGAAAAAAACAGAAACAGTATAAAAATTCATAAAAATCCGTCATAAGTGCTTTGACAAAGACACTATTTTGTTATGCTAAAACTATTAAGAAAAGGCTGAGCAGTGTCCTTGCCTATTTGAGCTAGATATTATAGATATTCTAGATTCACTGCTCAGCCAACAACTAACTTATTCTCGTGGCAATTACTTCAGGGCGGATTCCCTGGATCTCCCAGTGATGCAAGAGTGTAGTGACGACATGCCTAAGCTGCTTGTAGGTCACACATTACACTTATGGGCTGTGTCTTGGAAAATGTGGGACGGTTTCTCTTTTCTTCAACTTCTTTATAAGCAAGAACGCGTGAAGCAGGCGCAGAGACCTCTGGGAAATATAGTTCCATGGATTCCAAATGTGAGGACATGCTGGATCTTTCTGGGTGTTTTGCGTAAGTGTATTTTTAATACATTCAAGTGTGTATAGTTCTGTAACATATGTAAGACGTCTTTGAATTTGATGGGTCCATAGTGGCCTCCTATGTGTTACAGTTGTCTTGAGGACTTTGGCGTGACTGAACTAACTGAACTAGATAATCTTCTCTCATCATAACATGAGAATATTTCATAAGTAGATGTTAATGTAACTCAATTATGAACCATTTTTCATGTATTTTCATTTGACTATAGGTGAAATGGATGGGTGCCGGGAGAGAAGGCAAGATGTTGGCATAGCTGTTGACTGTAATACCCTGCTATGCCATCAAATTGCCATCTTTCTCTGCATAATAACACTTTCCGTTTTCAGTATATAGTACAGAGACTATAAGCCATATCCTGGTAATTATTGCGAATGATAGAGCTGGGAACTGGAGCTTATTACTTGATCACTGCTAATCAACTTTTTTGACAAGGACTAGGTTTTTGGGGGGGCTAGTCGCTCTGGTGCAGATCATTTCACTCCACCATTTAATAACTGAGTGACTAACCTAGAACTATATAAAGCTGATATGAATTGAAGCAATAAAGAGCTTTTCCCCCCTACATAGTATTGGTATTTGGCACAGGGTTAGTAGAGTGATCCAAATTGCCTCGTGGCCTTGCTTTTTTGGCTGCCAGTTAAATAAACTTGGTCTATCATGGCTTTTAATGTTCATTCCAGTAAATTCCAGTAAACACAGTTGTTTTAATCATTTCTGAGTTCCCATTCACTTTCTGAAGTTCTCTTCTACATTCACCACATATTTTCAGTGCCAGTGGCCGGTTCCAGCTTTTTTTGTCACCAGTATGAGTTCCACACGATTACCAGTTTATAGTAAGAAAACTTTTAAATGTATTATGCTTTCATGAGATAAGATACGATGACATGTAGACTTTACTGATCTCACAATGGAGAAATTTGACACATTTGGCATGAAAACCTGCAGTAGGCCTTCCTCATTTTCAAACCACAACTAATGAAGTCATCCATGGTAATTAGGTCTATAATAAAGTAATCCATAATTAGGTCTTTAATAAACCAACACTTGTTTTTTGGCCTCAGGTTTTTCACGCAGAAAAGTGATGGACATCTCTTGCTCAGCCAATCAGCAACCATTCACACACACACCAGACTTAGACTAGGCTCAGACAGACACCAACTTGTGATTTTTGATATCTATTTTCTCGTTTTGTTACGCACTTTGAGTTCCCATGTGTATGAACTGTGCTTTGAAAATACACTTGCCTTGCCTAAGTCATGTGGCCGAAGGGTCTTGTCAGAGGACACAATGCCAGTTTGGAACTTGAGAGCTGCAGCCGTCTCACTGTGGCAGCAGGTGTTCTCAGAGGTCTCCCATCACAGTACTAACCAGACCCTGCCCTGCTTAGATTCACAATAGACACATACTGTATGCAACTTGTCGAAGTGATTAGTATACACTGTAGGTAATATGGTTGTGTTTCCGCCAATATATTTTGGTATAACGCCAACCGATTCAAATGGGTAACTAGGCTTAACCAATTAGAATAGTAGTTTTTGTACAAGATGGCCAATTTAAAAATAGAAAACATGTTTAGTTTGGTAAAGAGTGCTCCAGTGGATCATCAGGTGTACTTTTCAGGATCATCACCAGAGAGAAAAAAGTTTGAAAGGTGACAGGGAGTAGCACGTATTCCAGGCCTTCTTCAGGGCACATTTTTGGACACATTTCATTGTATCCATTGTATGCTTTGTAGTGTTTTTTATTTAAATTTTTTTTAAATATAAATATACAAATTATTTCAATTATCTTTTTTATGTACATCACCTACATATATTTCTCTGTAAATAAAATATAATCCTGGACACTATTTTCAGATGCATGGCTTGTGTGTTTTTTGTGTGTGTGGATGGGACAGTATGGGCTAATGTCCATCGTCACTCTCACAATCAGCACTCATTCACCCTGAAATAAATGTTAAGTGGTAGAGGAAAGCGGAGCACCTGGAGGAAACCTATGCAGACGCGCCGAGAACAAGGCAGAACACTAAAAGTCCCCGTCTGAAGGGGAAGTCAAACCCAGCACCAATATGGCACATTGACAATTTGTGCTGGGAGTAAAGTGTAGTTATTTCAGTGTTGAAGCACACATTACAGACATGGGAGTACAGGTGTAAATTAGCACTGATACAACTGGTACAATGCATCTCTCCTCTGGCTAATGTTTATTATACACTGTGCCTGTAATATAAAAAAAAAAAAAATCATACAATACCATGTCAAGGAATAGAAGGAGCACTAAAACAAGACAATAATAGTAAAACAAATCTAGGCGTATTATACAACTATAGCAAAATAAACTAGTTTTTGGATTATTATTTAAACTCTTCATCACATTGGTCTCAGAAATCTTCTAAAAAATGTTCATAATAATGCAATTTAGTAAAGTACACCCAGGTGTCAGAGGTAGCAAAAGTGTAAGTAAAAGTATTACAATTATAAGCTTTTGTATACACTTGCATAAGCGTATAGAAACCAACAATACCCTTTATATTTATCATGAAAAATATAAGTGGACTTTTTAACTTGATTTTGTGTCTCCGTATCCCCATTCATAAAAAGAGTAAATGAATCATCAGAGGCCAAAACTACAGGACCTCAGCTTCACAAAGAGCCCAGCCATTTGTTTGTGCTCCAAAGGGTTTTCAGAAAAATACTGTTTGACTTGCTCCAGCATTACGGACACAGGTCAGTGTAGTGAGGGATTAAAAGACGTGTCCGGGATCAGGAATAAAATCGTAGTCCATTCATTCATACCATTTGTAAAACATGACGTAATGTACGGTCAGTGTGAGTCACGTGACCTGAGCACACGTGGCCGCGTTCTTCCGGGTTTCCTATCGCGCTGTCAACTATTGGTTTGTTTATCCCCTGTATTTACGTATTTATACTACTTTATTCTTCTTTTTTTGCCCGTTCTTCGATGTCTTGAACCTTCGAAGCAGTTGTTTAGAAGTACGTCTGTTTAACTTTATGAAGAAAACACCGAATAGGCTAAAGTTGATATTCATTTGAAGCGAGTTTGTGACGAGCTAGATGTGTGAGCTGTCGTTGTTATTACTGGATAACGTTATTAAGTTAGTCATTAATATGCTCTTATTAAAGTAACAAAATATACAATAGTGACTGTATTAGACACTATTTACAATACGTTCCTCCGACTGTTTGTTGTGACACAAGATCATAATAAATAAAAATAAGTATAAATGATTTAATTCCGCTTGTAATAGTTTTGTATTTTTTATTGTATAATGTAGTGTATTACTTTTTATGTGTGAAATATAATATTATCGTAGTCTTATTCATTTTCATATGGCTTTTTTTTTTGAAGACATGAACAATGAAAACTTCAGCCTCAGTGAGAAGATTGTGTCGTCCTCCTACATTAGACAAGGCTCAGAGGCGCGACGCAGCCATGAGCAACTCATCAGACAACTGCTGGAACAGGTCATTCTCAAAAAAATACTAGGAAAAGAGGACGTGGAGTCAAACTAAATCCTCTGTTTGTATTTCAGGGCAAGTGTCCTGAGCAGGGCTGGAGCGAGAGCACGATTGAGCTGTTCCTCAGTGAGTTGGCCCTGATGGACAGCAATAACTTCCTCTCAAACTGTGGAGTGGGAGAGCGGGAAGGCCGAGTCGCGTCCGGTCTCGTGGCCCGACGACATTACAGGCAAATACCAACTTGTATCTTCTTAGTGAATATCTGTGCATTTACATGTAGGGCTGTAACAAGACAATCAATTAATCACAACTTAATACTTCATTCATTTGCATCTAAAACTTCGGGAAACGGAGTCAAATCAGTAACATCAGCAGCTTTTTACCACCTAAAAAACATTGCCAGTTGGTAGAGCACTGGCCTTTAGGCCTGAAGGTCGTGGGTTCGAGCCCACCATAAGACCTACTTCACGACTCCCACTGATGACTGCTGTCGTTGTGTCCTTGGGCAAGACACTTAACCCTACTTTGCCTGAAGCCCCTGCTGAAAGATCTCAGCTCCTGTGGACTCACCACCTGCAGGAGGATCAGTGAGGGGCTGGTGCTCTGTGAACTGGGTGCAGCTCTGACTGCCAGCCCCCCCCCCACACACTCTGATTTGTGGAATATAGGCACTGAGTAGCAGAATTTATCCATGGGACCCTGATTCCAGAACGATTTTTATACAGTTACCTGGAATCCCTCAAATGTTTCCCTACATCTTTCTTACATCTTCTCATTTGATATATTTCTGTTTTTTTGTGGTGTTTTGTCTTGATGGTAATGTTTATCTTGTTACTTCATTGGACATGAGCAAATAATAATATGTTCAATTTACTTATAATTATGAAATGATCAGAATGAATGAAAACACACAGATTTGATTGCTTAACAATTGTTTTTGTTTTTTTATTTAATGAACTCTGTATGGCTGCCTGTACCTTTTGTGTCCTAAACTGAGACCAGACTGATGTAAAACTACTGTATACACCATAGGTTAAGCAAGAAAAGTCATCTTAGTAAAGTCAAAGCAAATATAATAGTAATACAGAAATAAAGGTAAACTCGCATTCACATAAGTATAACAGAAATAGAATTAATATCACTATAAATATATTTCTCCTGAAAGTCTGTCCCAACTCCTTCTCCACAGGTTCAATCATGGCATCGGTCCGGTCAGGTGTCATTGCCGCTGTTCACCACAAGCAGCTGGATCAGTTGCTCAACAAAACTGACCAATTCTGTGGATTTTGGACATTTTAAGGACTATACTCGGCTTTGTCAAAATGTGGAAAATTAAACAATCTCTTGTTTTAGGAACCTAGATGTGTAATGCTGTTTCCTATTTCCAGGTGTTCGTATTGTATCCAGTTCTTTGGTCTCCCTTGGCCAACAGGGTTGTGTCGCAATGACATTGTGTTTTTTAAACTTCTTCGCCACGCAGACCCAAAGCTCGCTTCATCCTCTGGCCTCGCATCGACCAGAAGTCCTGTTTCAAAGCCATGATCACTGCAGGTGAGACCAATCCTTAGTGAATCACACATTGTAATTGGTATAAACATCTCCCTAAATACAGTTACCGCACAATTCTGAGCTCATTTTACATTCCACCAAGAAAACCGCTATTATTCAAAGGAGGCAAACAGACCTGGGGTTGTTTTTAGATCCATCCACACTGATATCAGGATATGCCACAAACACGGGTCTGTGAACTGCGATATATACATGAATATTGCTTACTTACTTACGTAATCCGCCTTTCTCTCTTAAGAGCTCTGTCCTAGTATTAGTTATGATGTCATTTTTTCACACTATGACATCAAACCACAAGATGCCTTTTACAAAACACCCAAAAAGAATTGTTCCTGAATTACTTTGTAAATTTCTCGGCTGAAATTATGTTTGCAGACAGTAATTTTAACACGTTCAGGTCATGGCAGGTTCATAACATCGTTTACCCTTGATACGATATTATTTCACATTCTGAAAGACAAAATGACAAAGTAAATGGTCTCACTATCATTTTTTATCGGCAAATATTATGCGTAATAAATATAATTGATGATTTTCTCCTCAGGGTATGAACCAGTTGTGGTGGAAAATGTTCTTGAAGGTGACGAGCTCCGCACTGATGTTGAGGCAGTAGACCGAAAGATCTTGGAGCTCGGAGCCGAAAACGTCCTGTGCGTTCACTCGACAACTTCCTGCTTCGCTCCACGCACTCCCGACAGGTCAGCCTCACTTTGGATTAGTATTTTTTGTGTGACTCCCTTGAAAATACAATTATACTATTCTTTAGATGTGGGTAGATAATAAAAGAGCAAACAGCGTTACATACACAGCTTTATGTTTTATTAGCCACATCAAATTAGTAACATCAGCAGCTTTTTACCACCTAAAAAACATTTCCAGGATCAAAAACATAGTGTCTAAAGCAGACTTGGAGATTCTTATCCATGCATTTGTCTCCAGTAGGTTAGACTACTGCAATGGCCTGCTCACAGGTCTGTCCAAACAGGCTGTAAAACAGCTGCAGTACATTCAAAATGCAGCAGCTCGAGTCCTGACTAGAACCAGGAAGTACGACCATATTAGTCCAGTCCTCAGGTCTCTGCACTGGCTTTCTGTGGCTCAGAGAATAGACTTTAAAACAGCTTTGCTTGTTACAAGTCTCTCCATGGCCTCGCACCAAAATATATTAGTGACATGTTAGTGCCATATGAACCAGCCCGGACTCTGAGGTAGGGCTGGGCGATAAAACGATAACGATATATATCGCGATAGACATGTGTTCGATATCAATAGAGAATGGGGTCGATAGAATGTTCGATAGTTTAACTTAACTCCGTCAGGAAAAACAGGAAGAAAACACCGGAAGTAAAGCCGACTCATAAGCGCATGGCATTGTGGGGGATGTAGGCAGAGGCTTCTCGACCAATAACAGCCGAGCAGGAACCGCAAAACTTTCTGGGAAATGCAAAAACAACAACAACCGCACCATGCGTAGCGTCCATGGATCTATAGCTCGTGTTTCAATGCCGTGTCAATGGTTATGCACGTACGTGCGCGGAATAACATCTGCGGCGGCAGTGGACAGACCCGATGTATTCGGCGAAAGCAAGAGATAAACTTTTTCCTCGGGAAGCATGTGCGGTACAGAGAGCCGCACGGAGCGGCCACGGGGACACAAGACCCTCAAACAGCTAAACCAGGAGCTAAACCAGGAGCTAAACCAGGAATAAAAAACCAGGATTAAACCAGGACTAACAACGAGGGACACAGTGTGAACATATTCCTCGAGCCTCATCGCCCCGTGACTGTAAACAAGGCTACTAAGGTTGGTTAGCCCACACGACAAATATATTTATTTAGGTTAAAAAAAAAAAAACTCAATATATATTGTTATCGACCGATATGAATGACTTATATCGTGATATAGTTTTCAGCCATATCGCCCAGCCCTACTCTGAGGAGCACAGGGACTGGACTCCTGTTAGTGCCCAGAGTCAGGACTAAACATGGGGAGGCTGCTTTTCAGATTCATGCTGCTAAAATCTGGAACAAATCTTCCTGAAGATGTGAGACAGGCCTCCTCAATGACAATGTTTAAAACCAGGTTAAAAACAGTTCTGTTTAGCTGTGCATAGAACTGAGGGATTTTATATTTTTATCTTTCTTTTTAATGTACTGTGATTATTTATAATTTTAATGCTTTCCTATCTTGTTCAGCACTTGGAGTTGCCTTGTGTATGAATTGTGCTATATAAATAAACTTGCCTTGCCTTGTTACAACAATAGTAAACAGCAGATTGTCCATATAGTAAAAATAATAATAATATCAATTCAATTTTATTCTAGAATATAGGTCTTTTGTGGATTTGAATTGGTCTCTTGTATCTTGCCAGGCTTGAAGAACTTTCTGCTTTGTGCTCTAAACATGACATTCCACACATCGTCAATAATGCTTATGGGGTACAGTCATCGAAGTGCATGCATCTGATTCAGCAGGTAATTCCGAAAACATACATCAATATGAATTGTCTTTGGTAATGTTGATTCATGTTCATTTACTTCATCATTGTGTTCATTTACTTTATATCCAGGGCTCCCGAGTTGGAAGAATAGATGCTTTTGTACAGAGTTTGGACAAAAACTTCATGGTTCCAGTAGGAGGTGCCATAATTGCAGGATTTGATGAGACGTTCATACAAGACATCAGCAAAATGTATCCAGGTGAATATTATTGCACTAAAATGTATCCACTGAAAATGAACTTTCCTTTGAACTTTAAAAACAGTATTATCAAATAAACTTCACAAAAGGCTGTAGAGGTGTGTAATGATGTATTTACATCAACGTTTCCCTGAAATTCACAGTAAGTCATGCAAATGGTTTTGGATGTAAGTTCCTGTTTTGTAAACAAATATCTTTCCTAGTACACATCATGCAAAATGTTCTTTGGGCTGCCAAACTAAAGGGGTTATTATTTCTTAAATAACACATGTAGTTTGTCCAAATAAAATGTATTTTTAAAGTAGAATGTTGTGAACAAATCAGAAGACGGCACAACCGGCTGTCTTCATCTTATTAGAAAACATGTTATGTTTGCAAACTTTGGTGGTATGAGCTTCTCAGGCAGGATATCCATCATTACAGCCATTTTTCTAAAGAATCCAGCATAAGTTGTTATTCTTATCGATACATACAAAACTAAAAGTTACAAAATAATTTAGTAGACCAATTTCTTTTTCAATCCAAACATAACTAAACTCACTGTTGAGCAAAATTAACATACTCATGTTAAATATAATAATAATAGAAATCTTCCATATTGTAATATACAAACATGAAAAAAATATCACAGATGCTTTTCACTAAGAAAATCATGAACAATAAGAAAGTACAGCCTTTAGTTTAGCATCCCTGTTCTGAATACTGTGAAGAATCCTTTTCTACCTTTATAACAATATTATTGGGAATTACTTCAGTCAAAATATGTTCTTTGAAAGTGCGTTCTGTCAAATATCAATCTGTGATGGATAATGATTGTAGCAGATGTTTTGCCTTTTAAAGGCCTAAATGACAGGTGTCAAAGTCAAGGCCCGGGGGCGAGACCATTTCCGGTGGCCCCTGAGATGATTTTAGATGATTTTAAATTATTATATTAAATAGCAGCATTGATGGTAGTACGGCGATTATGGCATGTTTTCCATTACTAATTTTCTCAAGAAAACAACCATAAAATGTAATTCCATAAGAAATGTTAAGCCAACATGTCATTAGAAGTTAGTATTGTTTTGTTATGTTTTTAACGAGTCTTCAGTTACTTATTCTTAAAGATATGAAGGAGGATTTCACTTTTTTTTAGGAAAGAACCGCCCTCTCCACTTTTTGAACAAAACTCTCTGGTCTTATTTGTCGAGCCGAATCACCAGAATGATTGACAATTGGGAGGCCCAATCGTCTTGATGATCCACCCAAAAGTTGAAAATCCTCCTATATACCTTCAATATTTGGTTCAGTTTTGGTTCAGTCCAAATGAACTAATTCTAATCAGAAAAAGAATGTCCGATCTAACTAATGTGAAACAAGTCATTTATTTAGATTTTTTTTTATAAATGAAACCCACTTATTTTTTTCAGCCCCTGACCAGCCCTTTCTCTTTTATTCGGCCCTCAACCAAAATAAGTCTGACACCCCTGGCCTAAATGAACTCCAATTTATGAATGAACAGTCTTAAGTTGAAAGTCTCTGCTGTTGCAGGTCGTGCCTCTGCCTCTCCTTCTCTGGACGTCCTCATTACTCTTCTCACTTTAGGAGCCAGCGGCTACAAGAGGCTTCTCTCTGAGAGGAAGGTACACGTGACATCACACATCACACACAAACTTCATTAGAGGCTCTACAATGTCATTTCTGTCAAAACACAATGGCCATTTTGAAGGGGACATCATGTTTTAGTTTTCCCTTGTCATTTGGAGGAGAGTGCTCATCGGTCTTTTAAGTTATTTTTTTTTTTAAAGATCAAACCCACAACCCTCTTTTCAAGTATTGGTGTCAAATATTAGTAGAAAAATTAACCAGAGCTATACAAGAAGCAAGCTAGAATATATTAAAATGTATTTACCTCCAAAAGTGAAGGATTGAATATGAACATAATATTGGGTTCTATAGAAGGACTGTATTCTCATAACCCTCTCACATGACCCATTGATTTTATTTGTTTTTTCCTCATGAATATTTAATCCATTGGACCTTTTCTCCCAAGTAGAAACAGGATCATCCAGATGCTTGAAAGAGAAAATTCAATTACATCATGATTTATAGCACACTTTTGTTTCACGTTTTAGCAGCAACTTCACTCAATTTGTCAGTGGCTCCATCTTCTTTGGCAAAGAAGCAACGATGATATGAAACTCTGTATCAAACTTTTGTTGTCCTTTGATGAAATACTACTTTTTTGACAAAGGACATAACATGCTAAATCAATTTTTCATGCCTTTAACTGTGAGCTACGGACTGCCACCTAGTGTCCGTTGTAAAAAAAGCAGCCACATCTTATCATATAACTGTCCTTTATAGTTTTAAATTCCCCTTGACTAATACATTTCTTCTTTTGAAGCCAAGATACCATTGCTCCACCTCAACTTCTACAAGTGGGGAGGATGATAACTTTTTTCCCCTCCATTTTATTTTCCGAATTTGTGAATTGCGATTGAGTCTGCAGTGTTGCACAGTGATTTTTGCTCAAAGGGGTACAACAAATGATTGCTAACTTGTCCTGTGTGGCCTTTGACGTGGGCACAGTTTTTCTGGTGTACTAAGCATGTGATATGGACTGAATACAGAAGTTTGAGCATCCATTTATTTATGATTTACTTTCAGATAAAGCTGGGGGACCTCTCTTACCTCAATAATAATGAAACCATGTAATACTGAAGTAGTTCTCTCATGTCTGGTTCTATCACTGGTTTTCACATACATACATGACCTCTTTAAAAGGAGAGGACCAAGCTTGCTTAGCCAACCAGCTCTCAAATAGTGACTTACAAGGCTCTTTCTTAACAAATATCCAAAATAGGAAATTATGACATCTAAAAGTCTGATTTGTTCACTACATTTTACTTTTCCAAGACCAGCTTTAAGATCTCAAATGTTATATTGCAATGAGCTGTGGTGTATCTGTTTCTGCCTGCTAGTCTCCTTTAAAGCAACATCTTTATATAATATTATACCCTTTAATGTTAGATAAGATATACTTTGTTAATCTCACACAGGAGAAATGTACATGTTGATTAGAAATTGGCAATAAGAAAGATAGTTCTTGTTCAAAGTTCAATTGCTGCCCCCTACTGTACATTTGCGTCTAGTTACCTGTGCCACACAATATATATTTATAAAAGTGTTTTCATAATATTCATATGGTTCTAAGTTAGTTAATCGATTGCAGGACCTTTTTGTTCCTGCTTCTACTTGCTTGAAAGCTGCTGTTCTTGCTGCTGCTAATAACAGACCAGGGCACAATCTGACGGTGCGACTATTTTTAGCTGTGTCTAGTACCTTACCCTCCTTTAGCCCTGTATGTGTGTGTGTGTGTCTTTTGGCAGGAGATGTATTCAGTTCTAACTCAAGAGCTCAAAAGTCTGGCCTCTGCCCACGGGGAGAGGCTACTGCACACCCCTCACAACCCCATTTCACTGGGTAAGTCCCACTCAAATCATGAAATCATATATTCAACTTGGGTTAAATTGCTCTTTTAGCAATGGTGATTGAACGGACAATATTCTGAATTTTGTCTTTTTGTCGTTTTTAACCGTGTCACAACATTGTTAAAAACAGAGCTAGTCCAGACCCTTCTGTATAAAGGCTTTGTTTTCATACTTTTTGCAGTGTAGGCCCATTCCCACTGGGAAAAAACACAGGTATTTTGCAGGTCCATTTAACCCACCTTGCAATCTAGTCTTTTCACAGAGGCCTGCTCAGTGTGTGATATAGACAGTGATAAAACAAAAGCTTACTTTTCAAACTTTGCATAATGCCACGTAAAGCAATTTTTGTCAAAGCTGGGACTTTATAAAGTTCAGATTCAGATTCAGATTACTTTATTGACCATTGTGCAAAACAAAAGGAGTTTGACTTGGCAACATGACAGTGTGCATTCATCTTTATCACATAGTGCATAGTGCATAAATAAAATAGATATTGTAATAAAGTGTCATAGTGTTCAGTCCTTGTTCCTAGGGGGCAAGGGAAGAAGGGAAACCAGCGTCAGTGAGCAGCCTGGCCGCTGAGGGGAAAAAACTGTTTTTGTAGCGCTCTGTCTTAGCCCCCAGATGCCGCATCCTCCTCCCAGAGGGGAGCAGGGTGAGGAGGCCGTGACCAGGGTGGGAGGGGTCAGCCATGATCTTTCTCGCCCTCCTCAGTGCCCTGGAGTCGTGCAGGGACTTGAGGGAGGGCAGGGGATGGCCAATCACCCTCTCCGCGGAGCGTATCACCCGCTGCAGCTTGACCAGGTCTTTCGCAGCTGCAGCAGGGAACCAGGTGATGATGGAGTGAATGAGGATAGACTCTATGATGGCCGAGTAAAACTGGGTCATCATGGCCCTCGACAGTCTGTATTTCCGCAGCTGACGAAGGAAGTACATCCTCTGCTGGGCTTTCCTCAGGAGGGCTGTGATATTGGATTCCCACTTCAGGTCCCTGGAGATAATTATCCCCAGGAACTTGCAGGACTGGACAGATTCCACCTGAGTGCCACCCAGCATGACAGGAGGAGGCGGGGTTGGGTCCCTCCTAAAGTCCACCACCATCTCCACTGTCTTCAGAGCATTCAGCTCCAAGTTGTTGTTGCTGCACCAGTTACGCAGCCGCTCGATCTCCCTCCTGTAGGCCGACTCATCCCCCTTGGAGATGAGGCCCACCAAGGTGGTGTCGTCGGCAAACTTGAGGAGCTTGACCGACGGGTGGAGAGAGACACAGCTGTTGGTGTACAGGGAAAACAGTAGTGGGGACAGGACACAGCCCTGCGGGGAACCGGTGTTGGTGATCCTAGAGCTGGAAATGCTCTTCCCCAGCTTCACCCGCTGGGACCTGTTTGTCAAAAAGTCCGTAATCCATCTGCGCGTGGGGGCAGGAACTTGCAGTAGGGACAGCTGGTGCTCTAGGATAGGTGGAAGGATGGTATTAAAAGCCGAGCTGAAGTCGACGAACAGGATCCTGGCATAGCAGCCGGCAGTGTCCAGATGATTAAGGGTGTAGTACAGAGCCATGTTCACGGCGACCTCCGTGGAACAATTAGCTCTGTACGCGAACTGCAGCGGGTCCAGCACAGGATCAGTGATTCGCTTCAGATGGGCCAGGACAAGGCGCTCCAGGACCTTCATGACCACAGACGTCAGGGCGACAGGTCTGTAGTCATTTAGGCCTGTGACCTTGGCCTTCTTGGGGGCGGGAATGATGGTAGAGGCCTTGAAACATGCGGGGACCTGACCGAGCTCCAGCGAGGTGTTAAAGATGTTGGTGAACACCGGGGCGAGCTGATCAGCGCATTGCTTCAGGGCGGAGGGGGAGACAGAATCCGGGCCGGACGCCTTCCGGGGGTTCTGGCTCCTGAACAACAGATTGACCTCTCTCTCTGTGACAATGAGAGGGGGAGGGGGTTGGGGGGGGGGGAAGTGGTTAAGGCCGGGGTGGGTGGAGGTGGGGGGGGTTTGGGGCAGGGGGAAACAATCTTTCTCAAAGCGGCAGTAGAACTCATTGAGCTCGTTGGCGAGGGGGAAGTTGTCAGATGCCTGCGGGGACCTGGGCCTGTTATTGGAAATGTTTATACTGCTCAACGTGGATAATATGTTTGTCTGGGATTTAATAAGACTTATTTTGACACCTTCCTATGTGTTTTTTTTATTAATGCAGTTCTATGTGTTCCTGTATTCTAATTGTTTGATTTTCTAATCTGTTGTTGGCGAATTGACACATTTGTAAAGTCCTCTGAAATGACTGTTGTTGTGATTTAGAGAGATACAAAATACATTGCATTTAATTGAGTTTTGACCCATTTATCTTTGACTCGTTCCTCTCTTATGTGCCCATATGGGTCTAAACAATGCGCCAACCTTTCCCACTCTTGTCCCGAGTCACACTGGGTAAAACAACAAAGGACTGCAGCATGAAAATTCCTTCCGACAAATCCATAATATATAACCTCATGGACAGAGCCTTCAAAACAAAAGTATTGCTACTTACTGTAGGTCGCCTTGGGAAATCTCCTGTTCCTAATATTTGTCTTGTATTTTTGTTTTTTTATTAGCAATGTCGCTGAGTGGATTCCAAGGCGACAATGACAAAGCCGTGACGCAGCTGGGATCCATGTTGTTCACGCGGCAAGTGTCTGGAGCCCGGTAAGAGAGACTTCTAAATCTGCCCACATTTTTGCGATGCATCTACACCAGGCATGTCAAAGTCAAATACATCAGAGGGCCAAAAAACAAATTTGCTGCGAGCCGAGGGCCGGACTGGTTCAATGTTTATTAACTCATTGCCTGCCAGCCTATTTCAGAACAGGTACTCCCATATTGCCAGCAGTTTTTGATGATTTTTATAGATTTTTCAAGACCCACAGAATATTGTGTACTATGACTATCTGAAATCCGAAACCAGATTCTGAAAGAAGACTGTCTACTTTCATCAGCAAAAATAATTTTGTTTCTAGCTTGTAATCCCCAGTTGAGTAGAGGGAAGTTTTACTGAAATCACCAAAAAGCTGAGAAAAAAGAGGCACAACAAGTGCATCTAGCTGTTTTCAAACCATTCAGAGAGCGCTGCTGCCACCTACTGGCTCGATTCAATATGCTCTCAAGCTTATCCCCAAACATATTAGATATAATAGACATCTGGGAACAAGAAAATAGCGGAAAACGCAATTGACGTAATAGTGCGTCAATGGCAGGCAACGGGCCATGTGAAATTCATTCGCGGGCCGGATTTGGCCCGCGGGCCTTGACTTTGACACATGTGATCTACACGGTGTAAAAGCAAACCCATTAAAGGCAGTCGATGTTACGCTGAGGTGCTCTTCTGTATCTACGAGGCATCTACCAATATATTCCAACTCTAATGACTTGTTTGAATGTGTCTTAATCAACAATTGATAAATGCTTGACTAATTGACCCATCAAAAACACTAATGGATGGTCTGGGCGATTACAATGATTGGGCGTTTCATAGGAACGATTGTAGTTCCGTAATGCGTTGTAGGTAATATCAATATTGTACAAGCCCAGCTGTATATTATAATGTATTTGTATGGCCTTGACTCAATCATCAAAATAAAGGTGGAAAAACATTGCAGAGGACAAATGAGCAGTCTGCCAGATGGAGGAGCGCGGGATGTACTCTACCTGATTAGATATTGTGTGCGTCACATCAGACCTGGTCCGAATTCAAATGAATGTTTCCATTACTGATAAAAGGCTGTGTCTCCAGGGCAGATATGCAGCTCTGTGCTCTCCATTCAGGTTTGGTATCTGCTCTGGTCCGGGTCCATCTGATCGTGTTGACTGTTTACTACTTTGATTTGATCATTACTTTGTGTCTCTGTGCTCTTCGCTTCAACATTGTACCCAGCAACTTCTATATAGGAACACTAATTATGTATAATCATCTATTTTGTGTTTTTACGCCTCCATCAATGCTAATCAAAAATATTGCCTCCATATTCATATTGGGAATGTCTCCAGTCTGGTGATTATTTGTAAATGTATTTTCCCACTGCTACCTAAGTCTTTTACAAATGTTTGTCTACATGTTCTACTTAAAATTGCACTAACTAACTTTATTTTTGTATTAATTACAAAAATGCTATCCATGTCCATGTAGTGCATTGGGATATACGTCCTTTTGAAGAAAAAGTAGCGCAGATTTGTGCTGCCGTGACGTTATATTTTAGATCGAGTTTTCATGAAACAAGGAAGAGAATGTGTTTCGGGTCGCAGATTGTGACCAATCACAGCGCACCACTGGCCCCCACTTTCGTGAGAAATCTACAGGTCCTTTAGCATAGACTGCTGAGTTAGCACAACAAGCGGCGGAGCTAACCTGAAGCTTTGTGTGTCACCGGTTACTGCTTACACAGCGAGACAGCCATCCAAAAGAAAGTCCCGTTCCTCCGCGCTTCCCGGTTCTATCGTTCTATGGTCACGCCATCCACATGAAAATCCATGTCAATGTATTTTTTTTGTATTTATCCATATTGGGAGACGTTAGCGCCGTCCCAACAGTGGTTGTGTGTGGGGGGGCGATAGCTTCGTGGGTGCGGGGAGGGGAGCAGAAAGAGAGAGGCCAGCGAGTCTGCTGCTTCAAAATCCCAAAGTCAGTTAGTGCAGCTTTAAAGCTGGGGTAGCATTTGTGGGAATAATATGTAATTGTCCCAACAGAAGGACACAGGAAAGTTGTCAAATAACAAGATGCTCTGTTCATCGCAATAGAAAACAACAATTTTCGCAGACGCATAGCATGATAGTCATTTTTTTGGCCAAAATGTGTGTGTAAAAAAGACTAATGTGCTGTTTTGTTTTGCAGTTTTCAAAAAATATTAAAATATGACAATAGACAATTATGCTATGGGGCTAGCCATTTTTTTCACACTTTATCAGACTCAGCTCTGTGAGTCTATTTGACGCTTTGGGCTGGGAGCTGTTTGGCTGACTGCTGGTGCCCTCTCTCTAGTGATAGAATTAAAACTGTATGAGGAACTATTGAGAGGGGTTTCATTTCCCTGTTTCATATTTTCTGGTTTTAAAGCACAGTACCCCAGCTTTAACAAAAAAAACCGTTAAGGTATACTTTATTTATCCCCGAGGACGATTGGTCCTCTGCGTTTTACCCATCCTGCAATCCCATTAGGGCCTCTGTCAGGAGCATTGGTCACTGTAGTACAGGAAAACCAGAGCAGACAAGGGGAAAACATGCAAATACCATTAAGAAAGATCCTTCTTGCTGAGAATCTATATTGCTGACCCCATGAAATTAATTATCATCTTGTTAAAGGCTAAAATGAACCAAAAGAATGCCTAATAATTATTCATTAAAGTAATCCAGTTTGTTCCTCAGAGTCATACCCCTGGGAAAGGAGATGACCATCGCGGGACACACTTTCCGCGGCTTCATGTCCCATTCGGAGGCGTATCCCTGCCCCTACCTGAACGCAGCCTCAGCCGTGGGCATCAGACGGGACGACGTGACCCTGTGCATCAAGAGACTGGACAAGTGCCTCAAGACGCTGAAGAAACAAGCAGCTAATAATGATCCTTCTGAGCCACCGTCCAGCCAGGAGCACTGTGAGGCGGCAATGGACTCATTATCAATGGGACAATAAGCGATGTTACTGGACACACACAGAATCATATCTTTTGAACCCTGTAGCAGCATTCACACAAAGGTCAGGCGCCTCTGCGATAAATCAGCACACACCCCTTCTGTTGGAACGCTCAGACTGTGACGTTAAAGTCAGAGCTATTTTTTTCCGTTTTTCTTCAGATTGCCTTCATTTAGACTGCGCCGTGATAATGATTTGGACCTAAATCCAGCTGAATGTAATTATTAACCACTCCTAGATTTAAGAACCAGGTGGAAGGGATGTTCAACACTTGGTGAACATTTTCCCATATGTTTCCTACTTTTTGATTTCACAAGTGTTTTCAAGATCATGTCAAAATTAAGACAAAGAATGCGAACAATTAGTTATTTAGGTTTACCGTGAGATTAGAGTTGAATATAACTACTATTAACTCATTGACTGCCATTGACATATTTGTCTGAGACCCTCTATTCGACTGGGGATTGCAGGACAATAAAAATAGCTTAAAACAAACTCATTTTTGCTGATCAAAGTAGACAATCCAGTCTTTCAGAATCTGGTTTCATATTTTACATAATCTTAGGAAATAATATTCTATGAGTCTTGAGAATCAGTGAAATCATCAAACATGGCTGGCACTCAATAAGTTAATCACAATATGTGCTTTATATTTATATAGAGCACACACATGTGGCGGCTACTCCAGGTCCAAACAACAGAAATAATATATGATGCGAGTTCTGCTTTCTGATAACCAGACATGGAGAATCCCATGTAGAATCAAACTCATTATAAGAAAAATGTACTTTGAATTTAGAATCTAGAGTCTTTCTGAAATGATTTCAGGCAAAGAGACCTTACATAAAAAGGAGAGAAGACCAGATAATAGAAAAACAGCTCGTTTCCATCATTGGGAATTTAAGGCATGTCTTGCAGTAATGACTCTCTTCCCTTACTGGAATATAGTTCACCTTTTGTGGTATTTTTTGGGTTCAATCATGCAATCAGCGTGCTTCTCATGCTCGTACTCCAACATCATACTCAAAATAAAATAAAATAAAAAATGCTTGTATCACATGAGTAACACTCTTATTTGTGTATTGACCTAATTAAGAACAAACGGTCCATAACTTTCAAGAAGGACAGAGGCAAAAACACTCCTCGCCAGTGATTTAAAGTCAGAATTAAACTTTGTGGCATTTGGGCACTGCAGCGATTAGTTCGTATCTTTAAACATCTATAGATTAACTTTTTCAGACAGAAAAATGAAAAAGAGATAATCACTCTTGCTTAACTCAGCTCAGATCAACATTCAGTGACTCACACAGAGCTCGTTCTGCAAAAAAGGTTTTTTCAGAAGATGAAGAAAGCATTATGTGGTCGGATTTGTTCACAAAATGTTACTTTGACAAGACTTCCTGTTTGGAAAGACATAAAGTACTATTATCGAGAGTAAAAAGAGTTAATCAAATTATCCCCTTGGTACAGATTATGAATGTTCTATAGTGATGTCATATCTCATTCCAGTTAATTGCTTGAATGCTTTCCTTTTTGTGTACATAAATAATTTAAACTGAACTGTTGAAAAGTGCTTTTCCAAGAATGGCTAGATTAGTTTTGTTTGCAAGCAAATAATATAAAAGTGTATATTGATTTAAAATATTGTCTACTGCTGCATTTTGTAACACGATCCAAATGTTGAATCATTAAACCCAATCTAAGCAGCGTGTTCTGGAGCCGCCATTTATTCCAAGCCTCTGTAACCGATACCAACTAACACATAATCAATGCTCTGGTCTAAATATAGGCCTGCCCTTGGTTTAGTGGGGTTTTGGTCTTAGCTGCAATTTCCATGAGGCAGACAAAACCTTGTGCATTTTATTCTAATAAACATTTAGTTCTGGAGAATCAAAATGTACACAATCATATAAAGAAAGAACTCTATTGTGTGTACAAAATGCAGCCAAAGTTGAATCTATCTCTACAGGAGTACATGATGTTTGTGGCAGTAAAATATTGCAAATATTGACTACATGTGATGGAAAATCGGGAACTTCTGGCACAAACATGTAACTGTAATTGTACTATAATATTCCAGCAGTTTTTTGGCTTTTAAAACAAATGTATTGTCCATAAAATATTATACAGTCATATATTTTTTTTGCAGCAGAACATGTTCAAAATGGGGGGGAATTAAAATCTACATGATAGCATTATTTACCTTGCTAGCTAGTTTAACCATTGATTTTCTCCTGAAGATGTTATACAGTGTATAGATATGAAAAGCCAAAGTGAATAGTCTATTATTTTTGATAGACAAAAATATTATGCAATATGCAAACTGATAAAAATGTGGACAGAAATGACTCTTGAACTAAGATTTTAACCCAGGGTTGTCCAAACCCTTAAATCAGAGATCACACAATGAAATAACAAGAAATTATAGGGCCTAAAGTGGACATTCAAAAACTCTTGGTGATAAAGAATTATCTGTAAATAAAAGCAGATGTACTGTATGTGTGTTTTTATCAGGCTCAGACGTCAGCAGAGAATGTGAATTAGTCTGGCATTACCTTCTGTGGATGTGATGAGAGCCTGCTTCATCAGCAAACTTTATTTTACTGTTCCCAGGCTCCAGTCAAACAGTGGAAAAACACCAGACAGCACTGACTCAATGCAGCGATTACTCTAAACTCCAGTAGGTGCAGATGTGGCCTGTATCATCAGGGATATGGTGTTGATATTATTACGCACCGCTCTTTAAGCCCCTATGCTAAATATGACTTCTCCTTTCACACACAATGGATATGTTTTAGATTTGACTTTCATATTTTAGTTTTAAATGTGTCTTCCTGCTGATATTCAAATTTCCATGTAGCCTGTATTTTCAAGATTTTAAGCAGAGTTTTGTTTATTATCGGAAACATGGCTTTTTGAACACTCAGTGGTATGTGAATGTTGCTTCACTTGGAAACATTCACATACTACCGTCACCACAGCTGCCATGAGGCAAACTAATGAAAGTGAGGCTGCTAATTTGTGACATGCAACCCTCCAATGAATACCAATCATTCAAGCTCATACTAGGCAATGTGGGTGAATTGTGTTCCCAGAGGTCTTCCATCCCAACCTCTGTCCTGCCTAGGTTCTCAAGTCTTGTGATTCTTTTCTCAGAAAAGTTTAAGCTAAAATGTTTTGTATCCCTTTTTTACATTGTTGTTGCTTTGGTAACTTGTATACGTCATATCTACAAGCTATGTCTAACATTACACACTTTAGATATACTTAGATTTAGTAACAAAACTTAAATATATCCATCTCAACCATGATTTATTATACAGAGCAGCCTAAACTGTCATAAGATTAGAGACCACTGACCAGAGCGACCCCGCGGGAGCTGTCCATGGTGCTGAAATGGGCGTGAACCAGTGCCTGTCTCGTGAGATATTTCATTTATTTTCTTAATAATTTAATTTTTTGAACACAAACTCCTCATCGGGTCACATTTGTCTAAGCTGCTGTATGGCTCCACGAAACAATTCTGCATAATCTAACGTACATTGTGAGAATATCTTTCCCCATTCAGCGCCGTCGGCAGAACGAAGTCGCTGTAAATAAATAATGAACGCGCATAGTCGCGGAGTGGAGCGCTGCGGCTGATTCGCTGATGTCAGACGGAGGTATACAGCCAGTGCAGCATTTCCCTCGCCTTGTTGCAGTGGCTGAAAAAAACGTCGCTGTGGATACATCCTCCACCCTGCATCAACACGGGGCAACCATCGAGGGGGGACTTCAACACATGCGATCGCGCCTGGAAAGATGCCCCGATCGTGGATAGTGCTGCTGGCCGCGTCGCTGTGTTGCTTGTTCCAATTGGGGGGATGCAGGAAGCCACAGAAATGCCCATACACCTGCAGTTGCTCCAAGGAGTCTATAATTTGCGTCGGGTCCAGCTACGTCCCGCGGATCTCCCCGAACGACATCCATTCACTGTGAGCTTCGTTTCTCTTCGTGCATGCGTCTGCGTAACGTTATCAATGCAGTGTCATCTACATATGGTGTGTGTGTGTGTGTGTGTGTGTGTGTGTGTGTGTGTGTGTGCGTGTGTGTGTGTCCTTTTTGCATTGCAGGAGTATTGTGAATGGGACTTTCTCAGAGATTAAGGAGGGTATGTTTGCCCACATGCCATCGCTCCAGCTGCTGTAAGTTGCATCGTTTATACACGGTTAATCGCAATCGAATCAAAATCGCAGTGTTCTGGTCACGATCAGTCAAGATTGGGGGATATTGAAGTTTGCAAACAAGAATGAGCGACAAACACGTACACGCGCGCACACACACCCACACTTGCATACACGCACACGCACAGACACTCACTTGAATTTTGGGACATTTCTCTTGATTTTAGCATATTTTAAGATTTGATGATGGAAAACGTCTTGTTGTCATGGAGAACCATTCTTTCCTCATTCCAAATGAGACTTCTTGTCTTTTTAATAATTTATATAAACTGTAAAACTGCACCACTCAGGTCTGACTTGAAGAATGTTGTCAGAAAAGATAAAAACAAGATTTAATTCAAATCTTTTATTTCTACAGAAACGTCATCAATCATAGTTATATATAATAGTAATAATAGTTATATTTATTTTTATTTATTTTTTTAATCTGAAATGTGGGGTTATTGTGTAAGAAGTAATAATTGCATATGTACATTTTTCAATCTCTCTTGAAGTTGTTATTTTAACTTATTTAAAAAAACATACAAGATAAAAAATTGCATAATAATCACGTTTGTCAGAATCGCAATTATATATTCTGCCACAGCCGTGCAGATTTATAGTAATAACATTAATCAAGTCTGACATATCCCCTTGCTGTGTGACCTGTTTTGGTTTTAACAGTAAGTGAATTAAATGCATTGTTGGGGCAAGATCAACCCAAAGAAAATGGATATTTCTGGGAGTCCATTACGTTAATGCACTTTTGCACTAGTTTGCTTTGGCTATTAGCAGGAAGAGCTTTCTAAAGGGTCAAGGGAAATAAACTTAGAATAAAAGCTACTTACACCAGGCCATCGATCTTCACCATGTTGTGTCATGTCTGCACAATGCTGACGTCCTGAACCGAGGGGCGGGTTTTTCTCAATCCAGTTCAAACATATTTCATTTCTTAAGTTGAGGGCCAGATATTCAAACTGTCTCAGATAAAAGGTCATTGACTGCTCATTGCCATTTGTTGGTGGTGGTCGGAGGGGCCGATGGCACAGACTGGTTGCCTCGCTTCAGTCAGTGTGCCCCAGGGCAGCTGTGGCTACACTAGTAGTTTATCACCACCGTGTATGGAGTGAAAGAATAATAACACAGAATTGCGCTATATAAAACCAATTATTATTATTGTTGTCCGAAGTATCTGTCATCAAGAATGAATCACTTATACAAAATGTAGTCAGTAAACTATAATGTTTAAGAGTCTACATAAGAACTATAATATCAGTTATTTTTTACATTGTGTTGACTGGGGATCCGTCAGGTCTATGGGACTGCACAGACTTAAAACTGGGACACAAAACTCTCAAACCGCAAAAGAAAGAGGATCACAGAGAGCGCTAAACCACATTTTTAAGCCCAAAATGATGAGTGTTACACAAACTGAGCTATAGGAGCGAGAGCGAGTTGGAGCAAAACTCTGTCCATGAGCACTTTCCTATTCGCCTTCATTGAGCTAGGGGGTTAGCATTGGGCATCTATATACAGTCTATGATTCTGTCACAAGTGAAAAAGAGAGGACCACTGTTGTAGGGCTCTTTTATTTATTCATTGTAATTTTTCTCATCTATTTGAAATCTCTTCCTGTAGTGAGAGCTCAATGAAGGCCCAATGAGGATGTTTGTGGAGGTTGGATGTACATACTTGTGCATGGTGTTAACAAATACCTCTTGATGGGAGGAGACACTGTGGTATATACTGTAAAAGAGGCCAGAGCCACTACAGAGCATGTCACATTAACGGACATTTACTGATTACGGCTTTTTAGGTTCTTCTAATAAGACAATTAAAGCCGAAACATGTCAGGTATTTAAGCAGTACTAGCTTTTTTTGCTTTAATTGTCTTATTAGAAGAACCTAAAAAGCCGTAAACATAAGAAGACAGAATGAATTTTCCACATTTGACATTTACTGATGTAAGTACACGGGCAGTAGCTCAAGGTTATTGTTTTCATCCTTTCTTACAAGAAGCCAACCCAAAAGACAACAGGTTTTTGAATAAGAAAAAGACTCGTGTGGTCTGACTCGTTCTGTTGGGACCCAAAAAAAGGTATTGAGCATAAAGATGTGATTAAGAGATCCGTTATCACTTATCACAGAACAGTTGGAATGAGGAGCACACAACACAAGATTAATTAACAATTCCTCTATAAAAATACTAAAAAAAATAAGTACTAAATCTCCAACTTTAGCATAGTGTAGAAGCAAGAATTAAGTACAAAATCTGCATATCAGATTCAGATTCAGATTCATTTATTTGCCATTTGCAGTAAAACCACATAGGAAAAACTGTGCAAGACTACCCCAGTGTGCACCAGACGACACACACCAGAGCTCTTGCCACGGCGCCATCTTTACGGCGCCATATTCAAGTGTGCGAAATACATAGTTGTACATATACTGTGCATCTGTACATGTTAGCTGCATGTGGGTATGGGATAAAGGCAAGGCAAGTTTATTTGAGCACAATTCTTACACAAGGCAACTCAAAGAGCTGAACAAAACAAGATGGAAACAGCACGTGACAAAGTGAATTTCTCATTGCACAGATGAGTAAAGTAAAGTGACATGCACATTGTAGTAGATAAACAAAGATTAAACAGATTTTCCAAGTTGCTCTACTATGTGTAAGAACTGCCAGAAAATGAACCGAACAATTCAAACTGAAAGGATGTGTGAACCGGTAAAATCGGTAAAAAAAAAAAAAGAAATGGGTTAGGGTCTAATCCCTGATGTATAAAGGTAAAGATGGTCACTTCTTTGTTTGTACATGCAAGCACTTATTATTGATAAGACTAGTGAGTGTATGGGCTTTTAGAAATATAAGAAGGTTTCATATAAGGTTTCATAGTAGCCTGAACCAGCATGCTAAATTCCATAAACATATTTGTACCACAACATTAAGAGGTAAAATGTCCTTGTTTTTGACCACAGAAGTCCATAGTAGTGAATAAATAATCCATCATACCCCTTTGGAATGCTTATGTGTGGCCAAAACTTCTGGGAAACTACCGGTTATGAGTGAACAAGGCTTTTACAATGTTTTCAAATCCCGCGAGTGCTATTGCTGTCTTTTAATTAACCTGCTCCACGGCCAGAGGAGCACCAGGGTTATACAGCACTTCTGCATTTCATTCCACAGAGACTTCCAGCATTCAGTTACTGTGATCACATCCGACCAGGGGTTACCCACAGACCACGCCCTCTGTCACCCTACTGAATGATCCAGGCTTAAGCTGAGGGATCTTATTTTCAAACCTATAATAACTGAAATATGTGACAGAATCCGTCTAACTAGCTTTGGTTCGATCACTCGTTTTCACATGCAGGTATCAAAAAGAGAGGACCCCAGCCCTCAACAGAGCTCTCTTCTTTCCAGAGATGAAATGTTTTCCAATAAGCCTGATTTAGTCACAACATTTTACAATGAGTTAAAAGACTCATTCTTTTGGGACAAGTCAAATCTTTATTTTGTAGAGCACATTTAAAACAGCCTAGGCTTACCAAAGTGCTTTACAGACAAGAAGTATAAACAGCACAATAGTAATCTTTATTTATATACCGTCTTTTCACTGCACATCGGAGTCTCAAAGCGGTTTACAATTGTTATTTTTGGGAGTGGGGGTGCCAGTACAGGAGGCACATGCCAGACCTATTGCACATATTTTTAGTGGTAGGGCAAACCGGAGCACCCGGAGGAAACCTACGCAGACACGGGGAGAACATGCAAACTCCACTCAGAAAGGCCCTGGTCCAACCGGGATTCGAACCCAGGACCTTCTTGCTGAGAGGCGAGAGTGCTATCCACTCAGCCACCGTGCACAATAAAAACACATACAAATACAGAAATATATACAAATGACATGTATTATTATTAAATGAACATAACGTTAGGTACCTCAACTTTAAAGTCTGGTGTGGATTGATTACTGGGAGAGAGAATGCAATAATCTAGTGGAACCCAAATGAAACTGGAGGCTAAAACAGAAAATGTAGGAGTATTTCTGGAGTGCTTTAAACAGTGTACAAAGAGCTTTCTGCAACCACTTTTCAATTTGAAGCTGATTAATCTGGCTATACCTTCAAAGTATACTGCAAATATCGAACACATTTAATAACAAAACAACCAACTAAGTCCTGAATTTCTCCTACGGGGGATCAATAAAGTATCTATCAATCAATCAGTCAACTTTATAGTTCACTCGTCTATGGCCCACGATTCCATATATTTGAAATGAATCACATTTTGATGCTATTTTTCATATCACGTCTCACAAAACCAGTCCCATTCTTCACCAGCACTCTTGTGTATGTGTTTTCTCCCAGGCTTCTCAACTCCAACTCTCTCACAAATATCCGGGATGATGCTTTCTCAGGACTTTCACACCTGGAGTATCTGTAAGACAAATCTCTGCTCACTAATGCATAATATTACACATCTAAAAATAACAAGCACACACAAATGACTGCCTTTACAGATATATACATACAGTACATTGCATTTAAACTGTCTCATTCAATGGTTTTTTTTTTGATAAATGTTTGCACTTGTCTTTTGCAGGTTTATTGAGAGTAACAAGATGGAAACAGTGTCCAAGTATGCCTTCAGAGGATTGCGGGACTTGACTCACTTGTATGGATTCTATCTCTAACACATGTTCACCATAGTCATCTTTTCTCTTTAATAATAATATGTCTTTTCTACCTAATACATTAATTCATATCCACAGTAAATCTTCTGAAATATTCCCAAAATGAGCACTAAAAATGCAAAATATTTCTTCATACAACTAATCCTCAAGGAGACATGCTGTATTATGCAAAATGTACTTAAACAGTCCTTGAGGTTTTTTTTTAAGATCCATCCATGCTAATATCAGGAACTTCTGGCACAACCATGTAGCTCTGAATCTCCTATCTAAAAGCCACTGTCCAATAGTTTGATCGTAATGGCATCACACTTCCTACCTTTCAAAATAAAATGATTGGTTTGGCCATTTCTCAAGTAAAATTTGATTCTTTGCAATCACATGACAGTAGTTGCTGGCGTTTATTGTCAAATTTGGAATAAAAACACAACACATTCCCAATGCTGTGGTGGTAAAATGGGGATAGGGCAGGTTGACAGCATTATTTACCCTTGATACTTGTTTCATTGTATAGTTCTACTCACAATATCATTTCACATTCTAAAAGATGAAATGGTACAATAAATTATCTCATTATCATTGTAATATTTCTTCTCTAATATGGTTATTTCTTACAGATCTCTTGCGAACAATAACATCAAAGCTTTGCCGCGGGACCTTTTCAGCGACCTGGACTCTCTCATTGAACTGTAAGCCTCCTCGTCTCATATTTTGTGTGTGTGTGTGTGATCTAAAGTCCTTCACTGGCCGTTCTGATGTCAGGTTGCCAGGTTGCATAACATTTCTCCTCTGTCAGGGATCTGCGAGGTAATGCTTTCGAGTGCGACTGTCGCGCTAAGTGGCTCATGACGTGGCTCAAAAGCACCAACGCCACGGTGTCTGATGTGGTGTGCGCCGCGCCAGAGGAGATGAAGGCCACCAGACTCAACGACATGAGCAGTCTGCAGAATGAGTGCATCTCTACCGGTGAAAAATGTCAAATGATTATTATATCCGATAAAGAGTTTGTTTTTGTTTGGTTTAACATAAAAACACACACAGGTCCAGGGCAGAAATAACCAAAATAAAGTAGGTTTGTAATTATAATAAGTTTGGTAAATTGTAATAGTAGTAGTAGTAGTAGTAGTAGTAGTATTTTTATTTGAGCAGTTTGACAATACACAATAACATGCACAAATAATTCAAAAAAGACAAAAAAAGAAAAAAAAAGGCTCAAAAGGAGAAGGCCGAAGCAAAAGCTTATATGTGCCTTCCCCATTATCAATTAATTCATTTAAGCGGCTGCAAAATATTTAAAAATTTCACATGACATTCCTGATTTTTGCCATCATCATTTTTATCTTGTTGATGCAAACAAACAAAAATATCAGCAATGCTTATCAAATTATGTTCCATCCAGTTCTTCGCAATAATAAATGTAATCTTCATTGTTTTTACAACATGTGGTGCATTCAGAGCTGTAGCCCCCTCTGTGTCTGGAAACTGTTCTGTGTAGTGCATTAAAAAGACAAGGCTTTATGGACCTATTGGAGGGAGGTGTTCTCTACCCAACAGACCCACACCATGTCTACCCTGATTCTCAATTTGTCAGAGCAGCTGGAGCGATGACACAAGAGGAACTACAAAACCAGATTTTTGTTGAGATAATTTCTCAAACTGACCTCAGAATGGAGATTTTGGTAGAATCAGGAATGATAAGTGACTGAACCAGAGAAAGAAAAGAAAAAAAAAAAAAAAACAACACATATATGCACACACATACATTCACATATACATATATATATATATATATACACATACACATATACACATATACATATATACATACATACACATACACACACCTACACAAACACATAAATATATAAGATATGCATTAATGAACTTACATACACATAGATCAAGTTTTTCCCAAAAGGGCATCATTCTAAAGTTTTATAAGTATCAATTACACCTGCTTTATACTTTTTTTTGAACACTTTTATGGATGTGGTTACCTTTAACTCGTTATCGAGTTTGTTCCATAAATCAACTCCTCTAAATGAGATACAGTGGTTTTTAATATTAGTCCTGGTCTTGGGTTTATGGTACAAATCCTTCCCTCTGATATCATAGTGCGGTTCTCTCAGTGTAAATCTCTCCTGGATACAATTTGGAACCATATGATGATGAATTTTGTACATCAGTGCTGCAGTATTTAGTTTGACTAAGTCTTGTAATTTTAAGGTATTCAATCTGATGAATAGTGAATTTGTTTGTGCATAATAATCTACACCATTTACTATTCTAATTGCCTTCTTCTGCAGTATAAAAATGTGTTGAGTTGTGGACTTATAAGTGTTCCCCCATATTTCGAAACCGTAATTTAAATATGGCAAAATTAGGGTATTATATATCAACTGCAATGCTTTCTGATTCAAAACTTGTTTAATTTTATTCATTATGCCAATGGTTTTGGAAATCTTAATTTTAAGGTAATTTATGTGTAATTTCCAGTCTATTTTTTCATCTATATTGATACCTAAAAACTTTGTATTACTTACCCTCTCTATTTCTATGTGACCTATTTTTAATTCAGCCAGTGCATCGATTTTCCGGTTTCCGAATATAATATACTTAGATTTTGCTAAATTCATAGATAGTTCGTTATAGTCAAACCATTTTTTTAAGATTTGTAGTTCTTTTCCCACTCTGTCCAAAAGCTGATCAACACTTTTCCCAGAGGAGTAAATAACTGGTGTCATCAGCAAATAAAATATATTTCATTTTTCTGAACGCAAGACTAATATCATTTACATAAATATTAAACAATTTGGGTCCAAGTACAGAGCCCTGTGGAACCCCATGGGTAATCTTTCTTTTTTCAGAATTAGTGTTATATATTTGTACATATTGATCTCTGTCACTTAGATAATGTTTCAACCAATTTCGTGCTACCCCTCTGATTCCATATCTCTCAAGTTTTAATAATAGTAAATCATGATTTATAGTATCAAAGGCCTTGCTAAGGTCGATGATGACCCCCACCGTAAACTCTTTGTTATCAGTGGCTTTTGCTATTTCTTCTACTAGTTCCATGATTGCCATTGAGGGTGATCTATTGCTCCTGAACCCAAACTGATAATCTGTTAGTAAGTTACATTTATTAAAAAAAACTTCTAACCTTATAACAAAGAGCTTCTCTAGAATTTTAGAAAATTGCGGAAGTAGCGATATTGGTCTATAATTGGTGAACTCATGTTGGTCTCCCCTTTTGTAAACAGGTATTACTTTTGCTGTTTTCATTTTCGATGGAAATATGCCAGTAAGAAAAGACTGATTACAAATTTATGTGAATGGTGTCACAATACAATCTATAATGTCCTTTATTAAGACCAAGTCAAGATCAAAACAATCTGTTGATTTTTTATTTTGTAATCTGTGCACAATATTGATTATTTCATGTTCGTCTACACTTTTAATAAAGTTTGGTAATTAGTGGTTCAAACTGAGAGATATTGATTAGGGATGGAACCAAATCCTCACACAGGTGGAATATGATCAGTTTGGAGTTGAACAAAATCGGTGAGTTAAAAGATGGAGTCTTGAAGATATTAAGATAAGATAATCGTTTAGTCGTCCCACAGTGGGGAAATTTCAAAGTTATTGGTGAAATTGACAATGTATTAAAGGGAGTATTAAGCTACAGTTTTGGACCATTCGTTATTTTATTTTTTTAAGCCAGACCACCACAACAACAACACACCAGTTGTTTTCACTTGTTCACTATTTACTTTTCTGGATCTGTGATACACCGATGATTTGGCAGAGTTGCACAGGAAAGGGAAAAGCTGAGTGCTAACTTTGCAAAACCTTTGATGACATCACATTTCATTTTTTGTGAAGGGGAAGAATACAGATCCTTCTGGCAGGACCCAATACAATGTTTATTTAATAACAGTTTTAGATTGGTTTTAAGATTCTCCCCATACTGTATAGCAGACAGAAGCATTCTATTTTTCTTTAATACTCCAGTGACTCTTTCAGACAAGTGTCAAGTCAGATTTATAGCAATAAAAATGGGACAGCGTAATCTGTTTTTGATCTTGGACTTTTTCAGAAATCTCTTTGTTTCTGCACTGTGTCAAGACTTTTTAACCTTGTTTGAACTTTTTTTATTACTATATTCTTTCCACAGACTTTGTCCTTCATCAGACGATTGCCTCAGAGTCCCTGTCCGTGGATACCTTCAGCTTTAAGAATGACGTTTACGTGGCTATAGCTGCTCCCAGTATGGAGAGCTGCATGGTTTTTCAATGGGACCACATCGAGATGAACTACAGGACGTATGACAATATCACAGGTATTACAACAACTACTTCAAGTACATTTAAATCTAAGCTTTTTGAGTAATTATAAATGCCTTCTTATACAGTCAAATTAATAGATCACAATGCTCTAGTTTTTCCCACAAATTCAGTAACAAAGAAAATGATTCCTCTACTCAGGCTATGAAAAAAAAGTGTATTTTCTCTCAAAACTTTATCATTTAAATTGATCAAAAAGCAAATACTATTTATCATCAATACGTTAGTTTTGACCTTTAAGCGTGCATTTGTAAAATTAAGTAAAAATATACTAATAAACTTGACCAATTTCTAGAAACATCAAGCATGGCAATGTGATCGAAGGAATGGGTAAAGACGTCATGAGGAGTATGCTTTTAATTTTCTTCTGAGCATAGGATTTATATGTTATTTTTTTGTTTTTTGTTTGTTTTTCAGGTCAGTCTATAGTGGCCTGCAAGTCGGTGCTCATCCAGAACGAAGTCTTTGTGATCGTGGCTCAACTGTTTGGAGGCTCCCACATCTACAAGTTTGACGAAGACCAAAGCAGATTCAGCAAATTCCAGGACATTGAAGTCTCCAAAATCTCCAAACCGAACGACATCGAGGCCTTCCAGATCGGCACAGACTGGTTCTTCGTGGTGGCGGACAGCTCAAAAGCCGGCCTGTCCACGCTCTACAAATGGAACGACAAGGGCTTTTATTCGCACCAGTCGCTTCACGAGTGGTATCGCGACACTGACGCTGAAGTTTTAGATCTGGACGGAAAGGCGCACATCATCCTGGCAAGCCGATCCCAAGTGCCCGTCATTTACCAGTGGAGCCGCAGCAACCAAAAGTTCATCCTCCAAGGCGAGATTCCCAACATGGAGGACGTAGTGGCCGTGAAGCATTTCCGAATCAAGGAGGAGCTTTACCTCACCATGACGCGGTATATCGGAGACTCCAAAGTTTTGCGTTGGGGGACCAAACAGTTTTCAGAGGTCCAAGCTTTGCCTTCAAGAGGTTCCATGATCCTTCAACCGTTCTCCTTCAAAGAGCGTCATTACCTGGCTCTGGGCAGCGACTACACGTTCTCTCAGATCTACATTTGGGATGACGAGGGGAAGGTTTTTGAGCGTTTTAAGGAAGTGTACATCCAGGCCCCTCGTTCCTTCACTGTAGTCTCCACCGACCGCAGGGACTTCCTCTTTGCGTCCAGCTTCAAGGGATACACGCAGATTTTTGAGCACATCATCATTGACTTGAGCTTGTGAGCAGCTGTGCCTCTTCATAACTGTTTTAAGTGTCTTCCGCAAACAAAAGATACAGTATGTCTGTAAATTTAAAGACTTGAGTAAATTAATGTAAAACGTAGATTTCTGGACCTAATCGTGCTTAAGGACCGGGTATTTTTGACCTTTCTTGCTTCTGAGGACGCCACTACGAGCTTACATGCATGGAGTGGTTTTCATATGGAATGGCATCATGTTTAAATAACAATTCTTCCCAACACCACCAACACTGCTTGATTCTGGCATTGGAATCGCTCTTACTTGCTTGGGGACTCATTCTGGAGGAATTATTGTGGTTTTGTAAGGTGTATATTGTGTGCATAATTTTGAAATGACCATTAGGAAATTGTATGTGAAACAGACGAAAGAATCTGACACTTAATACGAGAAAGGGCAACGACTAAAATCAGTAAAATAAATAAATACAAGAAAAATATTTAAGAAAAATGGGAAAGGTAAAAGATTAAGAGATCCTTTATTCGTCATTTAGACTAAAAATGTAAAGTAATAAAAGACATCAGATAACCTGTATGGAGAGACAAGTGTGTATGTGTGTGTTTTAATTCAAACTGAAGATATCCCGTTAATTTTGGATCATGATTTGGCAACAATGAAAAACGCCATTCATGGTCTTATGGTCATAAACAGCCCATGGTCATGCTTGTATAACGCATAGACTGTTGCCTTATTTTCAATGAGTTAAGAAACCCAGCTGGTCTACAGTGCCATCTACTGGTTTCAATAATTTACATCACTTCAAATTAATGTCTTTGAAAGCACAAACCCTAAAATGCTAAAAGTGTCTAGTTTTCAAAAAGAAATAAAAATAAAATGCAAGAAATAGGTCTACAGATATTTAGTAAAGAAAATAATATACGTTTTATCTGTACATGTAAATTTTATGTTATGTTTGTTAAAGAATGTGAAAAAAGGCTGTAATATTGGACTACTTGTAAATTATATGATTTGCACTTTGTTAAAAGCAGCTTACAAAGCATGTCAGCTCTGGACCTTTGGACACATTTTATGGTACTTACAGCAGTTATGAGATAAGACTGCTAAGAGGAAAAAAGATAAAGATATGCAAGAGTCACAATAACATTTTTTTAAACATTTTGATTGTTGACTACTGTACATTTGATCTGTTCAGAATAAATACAGCAAATTAATGAGTATAGTTCTTTTTTAGGAATCTTGGTGCAGGTGTGTCCTTGTGTTACACGTAATTTCGAGTTGTAGGTGAGCAGCGGGAGGTATGGAAGCCCGTTTCCGCCATGTAAAAAAAAAAAAAAAAAAGCCTACAGAAAGTCATAATTTCGACTTTAAAAGTCAAAATTACGAGTTTTCAACTGCGCATGTGCAGTTGAAAACTCGTATGTGTTGTTGTCTGGAACGGTCTCTGGTCATCCCTGTTATAGATCCATGACCATGGGTCATCCTCTACCTGCAGATTACGTCTCCCCTTCGGCAGTCCCCTTCGAGTACTGCCGAAGGGGAGACGGCAGTACTCGTAACTCCTCTCTCCCACTGCGAAGCGCAGGAACTTCCTGTGTTCCGGAACTATCGGCACGTGAAAGTAAGCGTCTGTCAGGTCTATGGAGGACATCCAATCTCCCTGCCTGACACACTCGAGGAGCTGTTTTGTGGACAGCATCCGAAACTGCCGTTTGGAAATGCACTGGTTCAAAGTGCGCAGATCCAAAATGGGACGCACCCCTCCTGACTTCTTTGGCACCAAGAAGTAAGGGGAGTACAGCCCCCTGGTGGCGTCCTGTGGGTCTACCTCCACTGCTGCGCCTCGATTTAGCAGAGAGAAGACCTCCGCCTGTAGTGCCTCTAATGACCCCCGTACCTGAGAGCGTGCTGCCCGCACGCCCCGGAACGGCGGTGGCTTTCGGGAGAATTGCAGTGCGTAACCCCTGCGCAATGTCTTCTCCAGCCACGGATCCGTCAGTAAGCCCTGCTCCCTCCAGATGCTGTAGAAGTCTGTGAGGGGCGGAACGGGAGCTGGAACACGAGACGTCACAGCCCCGCCCTCTCCTGGTGTTCCTAGCAGGGAGGGGGGGTGGACGAAAGGGCAGGGGGGCCTGCTCATGCAGTAGCTCAGTTGGTAGAACGTTGGCCTTTGAGCCAGAAGGTCGTGGGTTCAAGCCCCGCTCAGGACTTTCACCATCGACTCCCACTGACTACTGTTGTTGTGTCCTTGGCAAGACACTTAACACCAGCCACAGTGGGGCGGCTGCGGCTGTAAAGTGCCAAACTGCCGTTGTGTCCTTAGGCAAGACACTTCACCCCCATTGCCTAGAATGAGTCTGTTTGAATGGTTGGTGGTGGTCGGAGGCTGGTTGCCTCGCTTCTGTCAGTGTGCCCCAGGGCAGCTGTGGCTACAGTAGTAGTTTATCACCACCATGTATGGAGTGAATGAATAATGACACATGTGAAGCGTCTTTGAGTGTCCAGAAAAGCGCTATATAAAACCGATGCATTATTATTATTATTATTATGTGACTCAACTGCTCCGCCCCCCCCCCCCCTGGCTCTTGCCTCATGGAGGGGGGGGGCGAGCCCCTGGAGTGGGAAACTCCGTGCTAGTCTTGTAGCTCAGAGGGGCTAACACGCGTTCGGCCGAAGCACACACACCACTACTCACCAGATCCCTCCGCCTGACCTCTCTCTGGGAGGGCATAGCATGGATCAGAGGACCGGAGCTCGTAGCTCGCGTAGCGCACTGCACACCCTGCTCTGGGGGCTGCAGGCCTAGCGGAGCAACGTTATGGGCCCGGGAAGTAACACAATCAGAATTCACATTAGACATGTTACGTACCCCCAAATGAGACTCAGACAACGAGTACTGATGAAATGCCGGTCGGCCTTTATTGAAAGAATTCTTACCACCACGACCTCCTCTACCATAGGGAGGCCGGCGGTGGGTGCGTTGCTCCCGCGAGCCTCCCGTGGGTCTGTCTGGACCCGGGAGCCTCGTCGAGGGGGGACGATGGGCCACAGAGCGCGGATACGGGTCAGGACGCCTCCCGGGCGAACGCTCTCTGCCTCTGTCCCCGCTCCGTGATGGCTGGTGGGCCTCGCGCCTCGGTGCTAGGTGCGGGGCTAGCCTAGCCGAGTCCTTAGCTGCAGACTCCAGTCTCGCCACCAGGGCCTTCATATCCGGGCCGAAGAGGGACGTCTGGGAGATGGGCAGGTCCAGCAGCTGCCTCTTCTCCGCCTCCCTGATGTTAGCCAGCCTGGCCCCGACTTGGGCTGCAGCCATGGAGCGGCCACCATCCACGGCCAACGCCTGGCACATGCGCAGGATCGCAGCGGAGGTGGTCCTAGCCTCTGACAGGAGGGCTCCACTGAGCGCCCTGGCCAGAGGAGAGCGACCTATCCAGGGCCCCCGTGATGAACGCCATGTTGTTAGCCAATGACGACGACCTGTGCCGCATTGGCATAATATCTATCCAGCATCCCTAAAGACATCCTGTCCCGCTCGGAGGGAAGGAGAGGTCTGGTGCCGGGCCACACGGATGCGGAGGGGTGCAGGGCCATGCGGACTGAGTCCTTTATGTCCGGGACACCACCGGTCCAGGACCAGTCCTGCACGCTGCAGTACACGCCGTACCCCAGAGCAGGCCTCTTGGCTGCTAGGGGCTTTGGCCACTCACGTGTCGCGTAATGGATGATCGGGTCCCTCCGCGGGCACAACGTGGGTTGTTTCCTCCTCCTCCCTCGAGTGGTTGCGCCCACAGAGGTGAAGTCATCCACCGTCTGGACCGGCTGCGGTGGTAGAGGAGCATCCATGATGACCGCCGCGGAGGAGTAGAGACCAGGCACATGAAGCAGCTGGCATGCTGGTCCGTGCGCTGGAGCCTGACCCGACACGCAGAGCAGCGTCGACGTCCGACGCCGGAGGGCGAAGGGGAACTTGGACGAACAATGGAAGACATCTCAGAATTAAGTAAGTACTGTGGGTAGATCTCAATCGGCGCCAGAGTGAAAGAGGGGGGGGGGGCTATGGAGCAGGGGCCTTTATAGAGGAGGGTCGCTAGTGATTGGAGCATTTTTTGTTTGATCTCTCTGGCGTCTGTGACCTGGGGGTCACGTGATATCCCACTAGCGAAGTCCGCTAAGGGACGTAGCACCATGACGTAGAATATAGTGACTGACAGAGAGACCGTTCACGATTACAGGACAGTGAGGGAGGTCCGCAGACAGAGACAGGTGAACCACAGACAGAGGCAGGTGAACCACAGACAGAGGCAGGTGAACCACAGACAGAGGCAGGTGAACCACAGATAGAGGCAGGAGAACCACAGACCACAGACAGAGGCAGGAGAACCACAGACAGAGGCAGGAGAACACAGACAGGCACAGAGGCAGGAGAACCACAGACAGAGGCAGGTGAACCACAGACAGAGGCAGGTGAACCACAGACAGAGGCAGGGGAACCACAGACAGAGGCAGGTGAACCACATAGAGGCAGGAGAACCACAGACAGAGGCAGGAGAACCACAGACAGAGGCAGGTGAACCACAGATAGAGGCAGGTGAACCACAGATAGAGGCAGGTGAACCACAGACAGAGGCAGGTGAACCACAGATAGAGGCAGGTGAACCACATAGAGGCAGGAGAACCACAGACAGAGGCAGGAGAACCACAGACAGAGGCAGGTGAACCACAGATAGAGGCAGGTGAACCACAGATAGAGGCAGGAGAACCACAGACAGAGGCAGGTGAACCACAGATAGAGGCAGGTGAACCACAGATAGAGGCAGGTGAACCACAGACAGAGGCAGGAGAACCACAGACAGAGGCAGGAGAACCACAGACAGAGGCAGGTGAACCACAGATAGAGGCAGGAGAACCACAGACAGAGGCAGGAGAACCACAGACAGAGGCAGGTGAACCACAGACAGAGGCAGGTGAACCACAGATAGAGGCAGGAGAACCACAGACAGAGGCAGGTGAACCACAGATAGAGGCAG